ATTATTATTATTATTATTATTATTATTATTATTATTATTATTATCATAATCATCATCATCATCAAGAAGTGTGACAACTAACACTGAATCAGATTAGATAAAAAACGTTCTCTTGGTCAAGAGCAGAAGACATTTTAGGCATTACTGTACTGACACAATGTTAATCTGAGAAGTTTATTTCATGTTTATCCTATCCGACTCTGATTTCCACCCAAATGTTGATGGAGCACACAGAAGTCATACTAGATAATTTAGGTGAAGAGAGGTTCTTGGACATTGCTTTCTTTTTCCAGCCAGAAAGTGTTAAAATGCAAATTGGCCTTTACAGTATCACCTTTTCATAGTTCAAATGCCATTACATCCATATCCCCATTTATCCCTATTGCCTCACTCATAACAACTGCAAAGTGTTTGCACAAGCTATGATTTTCTTTTGTCACTAAAGGAAATGAACCTGGACCCCAATGCAAGAAGAGCAAACACAAGCCATTTGGGTTTGCTATTTCACAGAATCTGAAATCCACACCAAATTTTGTGAAATAGTGAATACTGCACACATGCAAAACAATTTGGATCCTTTTCTCAATTATACATTTACTCTTATTTTTTGTATGGAACAATTATATGGCGTAATAACCTGCATTGAAGTTCCCTTTTTGTGGCACAAAAATGGGCAGACTCATTGTCAAAGTGACCTCCACTAAAAACTTATTTACTGAGCTCAAAATTATGTCCTTGTCTTGCACAGATTTAAAATTTAAATTAAAAATGTGCTGAGCCATTATAATTTTTTAAATACTGCAATCCGCCCTTACTATTACTTTATTTTAGTAACTCACTCATGTGGATAACTACTTTACCTAATACTAATTATAAAATTTATTAATAATTTAAATTATAAATTATAAAATTAATTTTATTAAATATAATTATTAAATTATATTTAAATTATTAATTATTATATTTTTATTAACTATTTTAATTATAATTATAAAATTATATTTATATTATATTACTTTTATTATATTATGTTACATTAAATTACTTAAATATTTGCAGTAAAGTCTCAGACTAGTGAGAATAGTTCAGAGCATGTTTGGAACTTGGAGGGTGCTTGTGCTTGTGCATGTAAGAAGTGTTCTTTAATTGTCAAATTGTGAAATAAACAGGGAAAGCTTGATTTTGTGAGCTGTGATTTGTGCAATGACATTTTTCACCTAGAATGTTCTACACTGAGAGCTAGTGAACTCAAAATTTTGGCTTTGAAGAAAACCAAAAAGCAGGTGAAGTACTTTTGTCCAGATTGTGATTCAAATGAAACCCAGGTTGATATTAGAACATTACTATTTAGAATTAATGAGAAAATAAAAGCTTAGCAAAAATCAAAATGATTTGAAAAAAGAATTGGTTCAGTTGAAGGCTTTGATGACACTCTGTAATTCATCTCTTGAATTTGGAACCGTATTCTGAATTCATCGAACATGAACGGCACTCAAAAAATATTATAATATATATGTGATTAAAGAAAATTCCATCTAATCAACTGGGAAGAGACTGGCTCATGATAAATAGACAGACAGCATATCTAAAATCTCATATATTGAGCTCAAGGATATCTTTGTGTTTAGAATTGGTTATGCTTTAAATTCCAAATCAAATTCTGCTAGAAATATTAGACCTCTAAAAGTGATATTGCTGAACACTGATTGTGTTATCAAGGTTTTGAGAAATAAACAGAAACTGGCATCTGATATTCGTTCGTACAATTCATCAAAGATAGCATTTTAAATGCATATTATCGCAATTGAAAGAGGAATCTGATAAGAGCAACACCAATATGAAAGTCAAATATGAAAATAGTGTTTCTACATTGATAAATTTGTCAAAAAAACATGAAACAAAAACATCAACTTTGAGTCAGAGAAACTAATTTGAAGGTAGATAATCATTACTGAAAATCTGTGTATTATCAAAATATTTGTGGTTTGTGTACAAAATTGCCACTTTTTACTGCATCTATTTCATGTTATGAGGACTTGAGACAACTTGAGACTTACTGGGACATGGTTAAATGATAGTATTCTGTATGCTGAACTGGGATTATCAAATTATATTACCTATAGAATAGACAGATCATCATCCACCAGTGATCACAAGAGAGGAGGTGGTGTGACAACAGGTTTATTAGTGTGCTTATTCCGGATTAGTTGTGCTTGTAATGGATGTCTTAGCCGAACAATTGTTAGTATTAATCAAGGTTGACAATTGTGACATGTTAGTGAGTACAGAATACTTTCCACCCAAATCTTCATTGGAAATTAACGAACAACATACTGGATGTTTGGAACAAATGTTTGAAACATTTCCCACATCACGATTTTTAGTAACTGGTGATTATAATTTACCTAAAACATCTTCTTCTTCTTCTGGGCTTCAGGGATTAGGCAGCTGGCTGTTCTGTCTTCACATATCAAACCATCTTCTGCGTGGTCTTCCTACACTCCTTCCTGGGTTGTACTGCAGCACTTGTTTACACAACCTATTGGCTTCATTCTTTCCAAATATTTTTTCCAGTCTTGTTGTATAGTTGTATACAATCATTTAGACTAAATATATTTATTTTCTTACATCTTAATTTCTTTGTTTGCCTAGCAAAGTACAACCTTTTACTCTCCTTAAAAACTTCATTTCTGTAGCTTGAATATTCATTTTTTCTTTTTCAGAGAGAATCCAATTTTCACTCCCATACAGGAATACTGTTGTTGTCATTGTTTTATAAAATTTTAACATTGTGTCTTCTCTAGTCTTATTTCTTAATGTTCTATGAAGCGTGCCACATGTATATTGGAACTTGTGCAATTGATTTTTTATATCTTGGCTCCGGTTGTAACTTATATCACATCCCAGATAATTGAAATGTGATATTTGTTCTATTGTTTGGAATTCCAGGCATATCTTTGTTCTAATTGGATAGACTCCTTTAAAAGCCATGACTTTTGTTTTTTTGTTTTGATATTTTCATGTTATAATTTTTACACATTAGATTTAATTGATGGAGCGCCATTTGGAGATCATTTTCCTTTTCACACACAATAATTCAGTTATCAACAAATAGAGTATTGATATAATTATTTCTGTTCAATCTAATCCCTTGTCTTACTTTTAATTTCCATTCTCTAAGAATATCACCTATATAGATATTAAATAATATTGGAGAAAGGCTGCAACCTTGGTTAGTTTTTAATGGTTGTGATTGATGAGAATTTATTTTTATTCAGATTTTTGTATTTTTATATACACTTTTAGCTACGTTTATTGAATGTTTTGGAAAGCCTCTTCGATTCATTACGGCCCATAATCTTCTCCTGTTTACTTGGTCGAAGGCTTTTTCAAAATCAATGAATGCAATGTGCATGTCTAAATTAAACTCTTTTCTTTTCTCTATAGTTCATTCAATATAAAAACATTATCTGTGCAGGATCTTTCCTTTCTGAAGCCATATTGTTCTTGTAATAATATAACTTCAGCTATCGTCTTAATCCTATTTTGGGTAATTTTCCTGTAGATTTTGTATGTTGTGTTTCAGAGGCTAATACCTCCATAATTTTCACAGCTATTTCGACACCCCTTTTTAGACAGATATTATTAAGGCTGTTTAACATTCTTCTGGTATCGTACTTCTTAGCCAACATTGATTGTATAGATGTAACAGTCTTAAATGGAGAAAAGTGCTTCCATTTTAGTAATTCTTTGTTTATATTACCTATACCAGTATCTAGTAGCTTTCCTATGTTTCATTTCTTTTAATACTTGTGATAATTCTTCTATTGTTAGTGGATCAATATTATCGTTCTTTAGTTCATGTTCTTTCTTTTCTTCTGGTGGATTGAAGTTATAGATTAAGAGCCATTTCTCATATCTATAACTTTCAATTGAACAATATCTTTTTGTTTTTGATAGAGGTGCTTCATTACTTAATAGGCTAGTACTTGTTTCCCATGAATACCATTTTCTATTCTATTTATGAAGTGATCTCACACCTCCTGATGTGCTATACGAGATAGCCTTTTGGCTTCATTTCTATAGCAGTTATATTCATTCTTAGTTTCTTTGTTTTGTGTTTGAAGATATTTCAAGTATGCTTTCTTTATCTCTGGCACTGCCTCTAAGTTCTTAAGATATACTTTAATACCTTCTTCTACATTGTTTTTCTTTTTGGGGCTTAGATTTTTCCATCTATTTGGGAATTTAATAGTTGAGACAAGCAAATCGTGATCTGAGTATATATCGTTGCCTCTATAAACTCTTGTATCTTGAATTAGGGTTGATAATTTCTCATTAACTATAACATAATCTATGAGTGATCTCCATCCTCTAGCATTCCAAGTATATTTATGAATATCTTTATGTCTAAAGAATGAGTTAGTTATTTTTAATTTATTATACGTGGCAAAATTCCTTAATTTTATACCATTATTATTCATGGTCTGCTCTCCAAAGGTCTCTACTACCTTAGGTATTGGTTTGTTTCCAGCTCTTGCATTTAAATCTTTGTGTAATTGTCAAAATCTTTAGTTCCCTTAAACATTTTCTTCGTTTCTGTTAAAACTGCTATATTAATGCTACATTCCTTTAATTCATCATTGAGTTCTTTTTCTTTGGTACCTAAACCTCTTACATTCCTTGTGGCAACTTTTAATCTATCCTTTATTCCGAATCGCTTGTCCTTTTCTTGCTTATGTTGTCGTATATGGGATTTATCTGGCTTATCCATGTTAAGATTTTTAGTAATTGAAATGTCCCCTGACCGCATTACAGGTGCTGTGCAGGGTAATCCCGGGAGTGGTTGCCTCTTCACAGCTTCAGAGCCAGCAGGATTTAATATCAGGTCTTCTCCCTTTGGGGAGCTGGTTTCACCTGGAGAGTCTCCCCTATCCATTGAGGAGGCGTTTTCCGCCAGTTTCGTCTTCTCTTCTTTGACAAAGCCACCATTGGGGGTCTACTTCTGGAGTACTTCTTACCTAAAACATCTTGGCTAAATACAGCAACACAAACTTCTTGTTTTTTCAATAATGCTTGTAACACTGAAATTCAATCAAGTGCATTACTTTTAAACACCAGTAATTACTTGAATCTTTATCAATTAAATGATATTTTAAATAAAGATAATAAATTGTGATGATTATCATCCGGTCCTTGAAATCTGTTTACCACTAGTGGTGAATATAAGCAAACTCATGATGAAATTGAAATGAAATATAATTTTTCTAAAGCAGAATATGTGGCAAATTAATCGTGGTTTGATATTGTACAATTGGTTTACATTTTTTATGGCAAACCCATTAGAGTTATTCATTCATCACATTTATCACAAAGTTCTTGATCTTCTGACAAATATGTTCCTAAATACATCAGACTGAAATCTACATATTCACCTCTGTATTCCAGAAATTTGATTAAAATACTTAAATTGAAGTATTATGCAATGCGAAATTTAAAAGTGGTTTTAATGATTCGGATTATTTTGAATTTTCTAATATTAGAAAATTATGCAAGAGAAAATCTAGAGAAGATTATATAAATTGAATTAATGTGATTGAAATCCCAATTAAGTTTAATGTAAAATCACTTTTGAAATTTATAAATGTTTTGAGGATTAGAAAAGAATTGCCGAAATTGATGTTTTTTTAATGATAAAAAGGCTGATAATAGGAATGAAATAGTTGATTTATTTGCTGACTTTTTGAATCAGTGTATGTCCATCAGTCATCACATGTTGCTTTGAATAATCACTATGAAAATTCTGTTACAAATATTAGCTCCATGTATATTGGCCAATATGATGTACATCCAGCTTTCAGGAAATTTGATATGAAGATCACACCAAGGCCGAATGGTAATTCCCCAGGTTTTTTGGTAAATTGCAACATTTCCCTAATTCCAGTTTTACAATTTATTTTTAATAACTCCATAAAGGAAGGCATTTTCCCGTCAGTATGGAAATATAGTTATGTTGCTCCAAGATTCAAATCTGGGAATGGGCATAAATTGTAAATTATATGAATATATAAAATGAGTGTCATACCGAAACTGTTAGAGGTTATTATAACTGAGAAGCTGTTGAAGCAGGTGGGCCTAGTATTGATTGATAAGCAGCATGGTTATAGGTTGAAAAGGTCAATGATAACAAATCAGACTTACAGCATAACAGACATTACAGCACTATACTATGGAGAAATTAGAAGAAACATCCCAGGAAGATGTTGAATATACAGATTTACTTAGTGTTTGATTCAGTTGATCATTATTAAAACTTTAATACATCGGTATCCATTAAATTTTTCCTGAAGTGGATTGGTAGCTATTTGAGAGACAGGATACAAAAAATGAAATACAAGTCTTTTGTTTCTAGGGATGTAGATGCAACATCTGGAATGCCTCAGGGATCCCATCTGGCTTCCTTACTTTTTTATATTGTTTATAAATGATATAAAGAATTGTTTCTCCATTAGTTAATTTTTGCTCTTTACTGATGAATTAAAATTGTATGCAGAAGTTAAAAGTTTTAATGATTGTGCTGCTCTTCAGTTAAGCTTGAATTCTCTTGTTTTGTGGTGTGTGAATATTGAATTACATTTAAATTATAAGAAATGCAGTGATGAGATACTCTCAAGGGAGTAATATTGTTCATTATGAAAATACGCTGGATGGACATTTGTTAAATTCAATCTCTACTTTTAAAGATCTAGGAGTGATGATTATCCCCAAACTCAAATTTGGTAGTCATATCCAATTCATAGCACACAAAGCGTATCACATGAGGATGACCATGGAGTTTACAAATATTGAAACCTTTAAAATATTATATCTATTGTAAATTAGACCTACTCTATTATAGGCTTCTATGGTATGGTAAAAAATTTATATAAAAAAACTTGAGTTCCTCCAGCATAAATTTTTCAAAATTTGTTGCGTACAAGTTCAGATTGCCATTGCCAATGATTTCCCATGATTATAAACAGGTTGCAAATTTATTAAATACTAGTTCCCTCTCCTCTTATCATGATTTTTCCCCCCCCTCTAATTTTCTAATTTTATAATCTCCTTAATAATGTTGATTACCCTACATTACTATCCAAGGTTTATTGGAAGGTTCCTCTAAGACGTTTCAGAAATAATAATGAAGAACTACATGCACTGCCATTTGCTTGAAGTAATTTGTTTTTTAATACTCCAATTAACAGAATGTAGAGGATAGCAAATAACAATAATATTGATTTTGCTCTGTCAAACAGTGCTTTAAAAAAATTAGCTGAAAGAGTGATGTTGATAGACATTCTTTAATTTCTGTTTTGTATATTTCTGATTATTATTTGTAATTAAGGGTTGTGATAATTTTAAGTGATTTTGAACATTTATTTTATTTTTTTTAAATTTGTGATGTGATGTGTATTGAGTGGTTTTGAAGAGTTGATGTGGAGTTGATTGTAGCGAGATTGTTGTTTTTTGTTGGTGTGTGTAATGCATTGAGCGATGGCCTGTTTGACAAATAAATAAATAAAAAATTTCATCTAAAGACCATATCCCAGCTTGATTATACAGTTAATGTAAGTCGTAATTTACAAAACACTAAAATAATAATAATAATAATAATAATAATAATAATAATAATAATAATAATAACAACAACAACAATAACAAGAAGGAAAAGAAGAGGAAGAAAAAAGAAGAGAAGAAAATGAAAAAGAAGGGAAGAAGAAAATGGCTTCTGAATTTCGGAAAATGTGACATCTGCCATTTAAGCATTCATGCTTGATTACACAAACATAACTGATAATTACATTCATTCTGGTAATGAAGAAAGTTGACTAAGACTTTTAAATTGGCCACCTTTTGCACATGAAACAAAACTTTCTTTATATCATATTACTTGATCTTCTTACACCCGAAACAAAGTTAATGAAAATCATGATATATAAAAAAAAATTTGGATTTTTTTATTTAAATCAAATTTTTAAATTTATGTTCATATTATGTTAAACTTTTAGATTTTGAAAGAAAAAAAAGGGGGGGTGCAACAATGGGGCTATTGAACATTGACCTAGTTCTGAGATATAAAGGGTTTTACTAGAACTTTCATAAGATAACTTAGAAACCATGGATCAATAAATACTCCTGGAATACGTTTTTATACATATCAAGGCAACTTTCTGCAAATAATAAGAAAAAATATTAATATCTTGTTAATTTTTTTGGAGTTTACAACTGTTCTCATTTCACTAACAGAGATTCTGTTTTTTAAATACACTTTCTTGCATGAAAAACACTTAATTAGTCCAAATAAATGTGCATTTTGTGTAATATAATTATCTAGTTTATAGAAATCACAAATCATAGCATCATCTACACCATTCGAAAATGAAGCGAATGTACGCCATTCACTTTGGCTGGCACAAACTTTGTTTTTTTTTAATAAATTCTTCTCCACTAGTCCTCGCCTTCCCTCTAATACTTTTTTTTTTAGTTTTCTGGATATATTTCCCTTTTATTTGACTTTCAAAATTTTAATCATTCTTTGTCAAATTTACAATAAATTATATTTTTAAATAAATCAATGATTTTTTGGTGAATTATGTGATTTAAATCAATGATATAAATCACTTGATTTAAATCATCGATGATCTTTAAAAACAGACTTATCATTACTCATTCATATTACTATTAATGAAAACTGTTTAAGACAAAATATCATCATTTGAAAAACTATTAACTCCACCTACAATGTGACCACCCTATTGTTCATACTTTCAGTCTACAAAATATATTTCACCCAAGCACCACTCAAGTGCCACAACACTTGTTTGAAGGATACTTTTGAACTGACATGAAATGTATGAATACTGACATGAAATGTATGTAAAAATTAAATTGACTTTGCCAATTCAAACAGTGCAAGCTTTTTCACAAGCAGCACGCAGAGAATACATAAAAAACAATAAAATAATTGCAATTCTTACCGCCCATTGCTACCCACAGCTGCTTGTAGGAAATAGACAAAAGAGTTGGAGACTTGGGATATAACTACACTTGAAGGGTTGAGACCTGACAACAAAGGATTCTCTGCCACAGTGACAGCTTGGCCTTCAGACACTTCTGGAACTTCTGCTCTCACCAAGCGACAAATAGAAGGCAATATGGCTAAAATAACTGCCATTGCCACTCCTGAAACAAAGGGAGTCACGAAAATTGAGAAATTTCCACTTTACAAGACAATTTTAGATACTTAATATTTCCTCCTAATGTTCTCACACATTTCTCAACAACATTCTGCTACCACTGCTTCCTTCTTACAACATATTTATTGTTTATTCCTATTGCCCTAAAAGAGTGCAGGATAATGTTTTTGTTAAATCCTTGAAAAATGATAACTACATTGTAGTATTATTCTTTGTACTTGACAGTTGGGTCTTGGCAGAGATAGTGCTGCCATGCTTTACTGCTGTTGCCATAAGTACTCAGCGTGATCTAACGAGGCCAATCTAAAGCAAATACCAGATTTCAGTCATACACATTTAATATGTTTCAGTTTGATATCTGGATACTTTTAATGAAGTAAAATTTTGATGTTGGATTTCACAAATACATGGCAGTGTCCGAATTGTCCGAATACTTTTAATGATATGAAATGTTGATATCGGGTGCCACAAATGCATGACAGTGGGTATGGTGATTTGTTTCCTTAATTTGTTCATTCTGAGTTGCAACGAGGGTAGTTTACATAACTGAAAAAGCTGCTGCTATTGCGAACCAGAAAGAAACCACCATTGATGTCATCATGTAAGTAAGTCAAGCATAAAGAAGTTTGGTACCATGTATACATTTAATAAAAAAAATTAAGTCAGAAATTCAAGAAATATATTTAAAATTCTTATTAAAGTGCTATAGTAATCTTATGACTGAACAACACCCACAAATTCTTGCCCAAAATTAGAAAATTAAAATTCCTCTCTTTAGTTTCATATCTTCCTATTTCTGTGAAATTTTTATTGGATTGGAATCATTTAGAACAAAATCAAAATTATTTTAAGAATTTTTTGTCACTGTACTCTAAAAATCAACTTTACTAAAAAATTCAATTACATTCAATTTAAACCAAAATATAAGAATAACTGAAACAAACATAATTTTTTTCCATTTTTAAAAATGCAACAGTTTCATAAAAATTGAAACATTTGCCATACTTTGGCAAATACTTTAGAATAAAAGCAAATTTGAACAATAATTAATTGGCTTACCTCCATAGAAGTAGTCCATATTTTCAGGCATAGATTCCACACGTGCAATGATTGCTGAACTAATATCCAAAACTGAAAGGTCAGCCTTTTTGGGATCACGTTTTTCCCAAATTGTACAACTCACTACAACCATTGAACAAATTAATATGGAGATCACAACTAATACCCTTTCAAAAACTAGTGATTTCAAATGTTATTCACTGTACCTTTGTCTGAAGCTGCACAGCTAGGATTTAAAAGAACTGTGGGAGACTAAAAAAGATGAAAAGGTGTTTTGTTAAAATATTCAGTCATTATTCCCATTCATGTTTATGTCTATACAGATAAATTTCAAAACCTACTGATCCAAAAGTACATATTCATGACAATGAGTACTTGTTTTTGGTAAAACCCGCAAGAGAGGTCTGGGTGAAAAGTGTGTTTTGTTACATTGTTTCTGTATTTCATACACATTTCATATACAAGGACAGTGTCATTTCTAGATCAGTTCTTTTCCCCAATGAACAATATGGTGGATCACCAGGAAATTATATTCATCTGTGAAAAAGTAACAATCAGAAACAATTATAGTTTTTCAATAAATTAAGAGGTATGAAGCATAATGCAAGGACCCTAATATCTTCAATAACAGCCATGAATGAGTTAAGAAAGACTGACTCCCAATAACCTTGCACAAATAAATAATTTTGCACGAATATTAACAATCTAAGCCAATTACAATCTGATGTAACATATAAACAACATACCAACTCAAATTCCCATGCAAAAGGATGATCATTGAGCTCTACACTGTTAGAGCCAGTGAACTCCCGTTGGCTATCTGATTCATCAGGTTCAGAGCTATAGCTGCACTCCTCACTGTTGGTGGTGATACCTATCCACTCTGCTGCTGAAGTCGTGCCCTCGGTCAACAATGGGCAACTGCCTCCAGTGCCAGGCGAAGACACAGTTCCTGCATCTTCACTCTCACAGCTGCTGTTGTAGCTGCTCTCATTGCCCGTGCCACCCACCTTACCAGACGTTACCTGGGAACCCCTCCGACGGAGAGTGCTTCGCTCTCGTTGCTGCAGCAAAACACACAGTCAATAATTCTTTGTTTCCAGATAGGACAACAATCACAGGATTACAAATAAATAGACCTAAGGTTTGCGCAGTGGTGGGATTTCAGATCTGCCAATGAAGAGATGAGGCAAATTTGGACTACATAATACAGTAATGTGAATATGAAATTTACATTTAGTTACACACTGAGAACAAAATTTTGTTATCTTTTTTCCCAACTACCAACTTTTGCCTGCCACTGGAAATCTTGTCACTGGGTTTGTGGTATTTACTTGTAGAGCTGTAACAACATGGGTCAAAGAGTCAACTTTTTTGTTTAAACAAAAAAATGATATTTATTTATTATCAAGATAACACTCTTAAATGTTATTCTTCTAGATATAGCAGGAATTTACTAATACAATTTTTTAGAGGCCTCGCCCATTATAGATAATTGCATCAAAAAGTACTAATATTAATTCTTTTTAAGCATCTTTATGTTTCATTAGAAAATATATTTGATTGTCAACCTGATGAATCAAGTCAGAATGATTTATCTTATGACAGAAAGGCAATTTAGTACTTCAATTTCTGTACTAAACTGAACCAAACAGTAACAAGTCCCCCCCCCCCGCCTTGATACTAGAATATTGTAGAAAGATCCAGCTAAAATTTATTGATTGTTTTGCCAAAAGGAATTGACTGGGCTATTGGTCACTTCTGTGGATAACTACCCTCCTTTCCAAATCCTGTTTCGTATCTATTCAAAAACACATTATCTCACAGATTTTCTTTGAATGATCTTTCTAGAAGGCTCTGGGCAAAAAACTCAGTTCTCACCAGAATATTGAATAATATCTCGCTTGTCCTGTATACACGAGGAGAAGAGGTCTATCCGTCAGTAATGGATGGACAGATACAAGTTACCAGATTACTACAATATGCAACATGCAGAATTGTGAGACAGAACTAAAACATAATTTCTGCAAAATTTCTAACAAGAGTAATGGTATGACCGAAGTGTGATGTTTTGTGCTATTGAAGATATCAAAATGCACTTTTTTTGGCATTTCGTAGGTGAGGAAGGGGGGCAAATGAAAAGGACTTCATTGGTTCAGTCCAGCCCTGTTTCAGTCACGGCTGGCCTGCTCTCTTGATGTGACTGACATTAGTAGTAAGTAACATCCCTTGGCTGACACTACAGCATTTAATAAACGTATATTAGGAGTATCATCGATTCATTCAATATTTTTTGAGGTACAACAGTATAAGCAACATTTCTTCAGCATAATCATCAATTCTTCAGGTCATGCATTCCCATCAGATCATTTAAATTCCGCTGATACATTACAATGGCACTTGCAAAACATTTGGGAATTTCATAATTTTGGATCACAAAAGAACATACATTTTGATCAAAATGTAATGAAAACAAGTATGGTTCTTAGCAGCAATAGTCAAATAAGCTATCTTACAAATTCAAATGACATAACATGCATTGCATTGTTCACACTCGATATTAACTGCTTTTGATCTTGACAAAATTTTTGAAACATGAATGCTAGTTGGCAATAGCCATTGTAACATATTTTACTATATTAGTTCATAGCTGTAAGTATGAATCTAACATACTTAGATGGAGGCAAATACGTGGTTTTAAAGGCGAGGGGAGGGTTTTAAAGGCGAGGTTTTCTACAATCTTAGAAAAATTTGATAAATGAGCAATTAGTCGCTAGAACCACCTTTCTTATGAATAGGACAGAACTTTGCAATTTTACGTGTGGCTAGAAAAGCACCTAATTAAATAGGCTTTTCAAAAATAATACAAAGATGCATTAACAAAACTTGCAATGCACTGGCCCAGCAATAATGCTGGGACATCGTCAACCCCAGAAGTCATTCTATTTAGCATATTTAGCAAGAACAAATTAAGCATTTAAACATGGCTTATTATGGATTTGCTAACAGTCACATGTGTTATAACTTTTAACTACATATAAAAATTAAAATAAAATAAACGGCAGTCATCATTGCTACTACTATCATTATTGGACAGCAATTCTGAGCTCTTAACTGACAGCAAATCATTATTTATCTTATCTAAAATATCTTATTCAGCCTCACTGAGTTTGCTATTGGTTTAAATAAATTTACTGAGAATTATTGTTTACAGTAAATTCAAAAGAAAACACAAGGTGGTAGTCATCTACTGTATATTGTGACATGTCAGAAACCCCCATGGCATTTAAGACAAAAAAATATGCATCAAACGTATAATTACTATAGAATTGGATGCATACAAAAGCAAAAGCAAAGAATACATGTTGTCAGGACAACCAGTCAACAAGCGTAGTATTCCATGCTTGAGGGCTCAACATGATATTCTTATGTGAAACATGGCCTCAGGACATAATTTTGAATAAATGACAAGAAAGCGTTGGAAATTGAGGTTCCGTAATTATTTAGAATGGATTAGTCTCTTTTCAGCAACCAACTAGGACAGCACAAATATTGCAGACTTAATTTTGGAAACAATTTGGATGTTACGGGGTGAAAACTAATATTAATTGGGGGGTTTTTGTGTGATTTTAAATTTACAGGTTTTATCTCAAATGATATTGTAACATTATTAGGAGTTCCCCAGGGTTTATATTTGGGACCATTATTATTTTGAACTATATATAAATGATATTAAATTGGAAATCAAATCATGAGACGATTGTACAATTCCAGAAAACCTTAATGTGTTACTTCTATGGTGCAAAAATAATAAACTTGTCTTGAATATTCAAAAATGTATAATCATGAGATATGCGAAGTCTAGAAGTCCAATTATATCCACTTATCCAATAAATGGGCGAGAATTAGAAACTGTCATGAAAATTACAGATCTGGTGTGATTTTTGACACAAAACTAAAATTCAATGAACATATAGATGTCATTGTTGCAAAAGCAAACAGAATGCTTGGTTTTCGTAGAAGAACAATAACAAATTTTACAAAAACTCATACAATTAAAACATTATAATGTACATTAATAGAACCAAGTATTCTACATGCTTTGCCCGTATGGTCTCCTTTAGATGATGTTCATAGCAATAAATTAGAAACAGTGCAACTTAAATTTTTCTAATCTGTAGTTTGGAAATTTAAAATACCGCCACCTTGCATATCTCATTATTAGAGTCAAATTGCCACGACATTAAATATTAGTATTGTAACGAATATTGCATCATCTGCCGGGATTCGCTGCGCGGACTTCGTCATCTGCCGGTGCCCCCCGAACTGGACGGTTCCGGGTTATTCGCGAGTCGCGTAGACAGGTGGCGCAAGTTCCGGATGTGTCGAGACGGGCGCCAGCCAGGTATAAATTCGCTGCTGCCGGCGGCCGCGAGTCAGTGAGTAAGCAGTCAGGCAGTCAGTATGAGTATGTAGTCAGCGAGTATGCAGTCTAAGTCAGTCTGAAGTGGAAGCTGAGCTGTGCATTGCGGTGAACAGCGATGCAGTAGGTGAACAGCAGTCAACAGTCAGAAGCTGAGCTGTGAAGTGTGCATAGTGGTGATCAGCAGTGTAGTGGACCCTGATCAGCGCCGTGAATTGTGGTCAGCGCAGTGGACCGTGGATTGTGGATCGGACTGTGCGATAGTGTAGAAGTGAACAGTGTAAATAAATAATTAGAAGAAGACACAAAGACTGTGCAACCTATCTATAAATAAATTAAGTATTTTAGTGTACCATTAAAAAGCAAAATAAACGTCTTTGTTAAAATATTACCTGTGTGTTTTAATTCACCACTGAGACACTTTACAATACATTAAAGTCACATAGGAATTACAACTATATCTTATTTTTATATGGTTTATTGAAAAACAATATTGACTATCCTGATGTTCTATCCCAAATCTCATAGAAAATACGAGTTCGAAATGTGTGATTAAAAGACACATACATTTGAAATACCGTTAGCAAAAACACCAACATATTTTCATGCTCCTCTACTAAGAATGTACAAAGTAGCAAATTCAATTGATATAGATTTTCATAAACCCAAAAATGACTTCACATTGAAAGCAAAAAACACGATATTAAACGATTATGCTAGATATTTATTATAACATGCACTAAAGTAATTACATTATGAGTCATGTTATTATATATATATATATATATATATATATATATATATATATATATTATATATTATAATATATATATGTTTTAAGTATGTTTTGTGTGTGGGTTTTATGTTTATGTTTTATGTGTATGTTTTATGTAGAATAAAAATGATAAAATGTAAAATGATGTAATTTGGGGGATTGCTTGTTTTATATTATCATTAAATAAATAAACATCTTCCTGTCTGGCAAACACCAACTTGAATGGATGTGGCTTAGGAGATTCAGAAATAAATTTGGCGATTCTACAAGAAGAAGCCTTCCTTTGGAGGAGAAGTAAAGCCGGCTGTCCCATGTTAGTAGATTTCCTTGCATGTAAAAGATCCTCAAGCCTAAATGACCGCCCAAGAAATACCTCCTTTCTCTGCTAGTTGGTGAAAGGAGCGTAGCAAAATTTGCGTGGTCAGATGGAAGAGCAGGCCTAATGACCTGAGTCTCGCCACGTAAAATAAGGCATTAATTCAATTCGATTCAATTCAAGATGTTTTTACTGGTGAATCTTTCTGAATTTTCAAAACTTGAAACAAATTTGCTAAAAAATCAATCATTTTTTCTGTTGAGGTATTAGGACCACATCATACATACATTACATTGCAAATTTCCTACTAACACTTCAGTCATTATGCAGAAAATGCAAATGACATAATTCAAAATTACACAAAAGCTATTAATATTTTTTTAAATGTCCCGTGTGAATTTATAACATTAATTGGCAGCAATAGCTACCTTACTACACACTACTGGCGCACAACAATGCTCAAAGGATACAATTGGTACACATTTTGGAACACTGCTCTCAATAAAAAAGCAATTGAATTGTGTAAACTTGGTGCATTTTTTATTTCTGTGTTAATTTGTATTGGCAACCAATCATATTCATTTCTTTGGTAAATATTAAAAAAAATTACATTTGTACGTTTCTGGAGTGTGTGTTTGTACGTTTCTGGAGTGTGGGCAATTTTAACATAGTTTTTAAAAAAAACAAAGTTTCATTACAATTGTCAGACTTTACAGAAATGGGACCTATGCAGCTCCATAGGTGCCCCAAAAGACAAGGCACTTTGGAAAGCCTTTCATTGAAATAATTTGTTTCAATTTGGAGCCTTGTATAATATTCTGAAATGTTACGAGTAGATTGAATGATATTCTTTTGGCTGAGGAGTTTTGTGAATGAAAGGATAACATGATAATGAAGTATACAATCATTTCAGAACCTATTAAAACAAAGAGATGGAAGTTATGCAAAAGATGTATTTCAATTAGAACGTGAAGACATTTCTAGTCGCAAAGATGGTAAAGAGAAAAGATTGTTATTGACATTCATTCTGAACTGCAAAATGTATTGTAAATAATTTGTCCCCCCCTCAAGAAAGAGAAATAAAAGGAAAGAGAAATAAGAGAGAAAGAAAGAAAAAAGAGAGAAAGAGGAAGAATGAAAGGAAGAGGGAAAGAGCAAGAAAGAAGAAAGAAAAAGAGAAAGAAAGAAAAGGAAAGGAAAAGAAAAAAAAAGACAGAAAGAGAAGAAACAGAAACCCTCTAGTAAATACACAGAAGGATGCCTTTTGTTTATTTCAAAGCAAATGAAAGAAGAGACAGTGGACAGCAAACACAGAATCTCGTAAAGTGAATGTGACTAGAAAAAGAAGTGAAATAATTTGAACATAGAGGAGTTTGAAGCATTCATGAATTTTTTTTCCGTCTAAGAATAAAAGTCTTGGGAGAGGGTCAGCTCATGAATGTGAGAAACATCTCATTTTTGGGGGATGCTATAAATATTTCAAGATTTGAAGACATAAGATTATTTTTGTTATGAGGTAGGATAGACCCAAGAACAACAGCTGCGAACAGACAAGTGTGCACTACACAGCTACATATGATTTCTCTTTAAGGAGAACTGTCAAAATTCATAAAATTCTATTAACAGTATCATTGAAGATAAGCGACTTGTACTTGTGGCAAGTACCGTTTTGTTATGCACATGGCTAACAAAACATTAAGTTATAAAATCAAAATATTTTGAGTTTGTGAATCTAACAGTACATAAGCATTGGCTGGTATTATTTATACGTACAATCAAAGTAATCTTGAGCATAGCATGGCATGGCATCTTGAGCAACAAAATGCATGGAAAGAACATTCACTTTTTGTGTTTCAAATTTAAAAACCATTTATTTAAAACTTATTCATTACTGATTTGCTCACTTTCACAATTCTTTAATCTATAAGTGCAGAAACAAATATCATCCAACATTTATTTTACTTTAAAAACATTTTTTATAAAAAACTGGACCTAAAAAGACCCATTTCGACATTACTGATCTAAGACTTCCTACACCAGAAAGTTAATGTTCATAATAGGCAGTTGGCATTTGAATCAAAAGATCTCCAAATATTAAAAATTATTTTAATACAATTCCTGCTCCTATTGTTTCATTCTCTGCTCACAAACCAATTATGTTTCAATGCAAACAATATATTAATTAAGAATATAACGCAGAAGAACAAACTAACATAAAAAGTAAACATACCTGAGCAGGTAGGGCCCGTACATGTTCAGCAGATGCATCAGATTCTGAATCAGCAGAAGTTTTACGACTAGTCAGAATTTCTTGAACCCATCTGTCACGATCATGGGACTTCACTGGTGCATTAGAGGATGATACATTTGGTGTGACAGTTGAGGAAGTTGCAAATTGGGGCTCTTCATGTAACAGGCATGCTGCTACGGAATCCTTGACATCCTCTGGTACTGAGGAGAGCATTTCTAATTGTTCTTTGGATCGCGAAGAAAGAGCAAGTTGGACAGTGGGTGATGTTGCAGAAGCCAACATTGAAGCTGGGTCAGAAGGTTGAGCAGGTGTTAGGGGTCGCACTGGTGTTGATGGTGCTGAAGGGGTGACAGAAGCCGAGGTTGCTGCCCACGTGTGTCCACTGTCTAAAGACACACCTGTTGCATTGGTTTCCGCACAGCCTTTGCTTGTGTTACAAGCCTCTGAAGGTCCAGGTTCATCCACAAGCTCTTCACCATTTTCACTTGAACCATTCCCGTTTAAGCTCTCAAAACCATCATCGTCAAGGGGTGTCGCCTCCCTTGAACGAACTTCAGCTACTTCATCAACAACTGGGGCACCACCACAAGACTGTGCATCTGCCGCCACCTGCAACCTGCAACCCAAAACAGGTTAACTTAATGACATTTCAAACTCATTTACTCAAAAATAACATTATAATTTTACAGAATACTAACTCTTATACTCATTTGTTTATGTATCTAGTTTATTAATACTTGATGATAGATAAATAGGGAAGGTAATTTACATTCTTTGACCTAGGAAATCCAATCCAAACGGTTCAAGAAAATCTTAAGATGGTTATTGCTGATACAGTAAAACTTGCTAAATATGAAATCTCAAAGGAGCAGTATTTTTTTCCATATTAGACAAGATTTCACATTATGCAATGTAATGCTGTGGATTTTGACGGGACCACGATTTATGTTCACATTAGATAGATTTCCACTTTATACATGTTCCACATTGAGCAAGTTTTACTGTTATTTATTTATTTATTTATTTATTTATAGTAATAAGCAATTGCCTTATACAAAAATAAGTAGAAAAGTTTTATTACAATTAATTGACAAAATTCCTTATGTAATGTATGTTTTGTTATTGATTTGAATTTGCAGACAGAAATTGATAAATCAATCTTTACCACATTTGCCAAACTACACATGTGTACAACCGGTGCATTTTGAGGCTAGCTTGTTCTTGAGAACAGCAAAACAAGTCCTTTGGTGGTTCTTTCATAAATTAATTGAAGAAGTTTTTCATCATAGTTTAGGTAAGAGTATCATTCTATCAATGTTTTTATTACGTAAGTTCTACAAAAAACAACATGAGATATGTTAATTCAAAGAAAGAAAACGGAGATCTACCTAGTAATATGCATTAGGATTCACCAACGGATATTGATATTTTATGTATTGTGAATGGCTTTGCAAGTTTCTTTTCTTCGTTTTACAATCATCAATCAAATAGCATGTTTAATTAGGGGTTTGATCAATGTGATGGACCACCGCAGGTAATATGCAGTATAGAAATCAGTGTTGAAGATACATTTTGCAAAACTGAACATTTAGACTTTAAATCTATCAGGTTCCACCCCTCTCCAATAAGAGCATATTGGAAATTTATTGACAGGAAGAAGTGTTTGGAGGGTACTGGGAGTTTTGAATGCTATATTGATATAGTGTTTACAGGAGACTTGCCTGATCTTTTTCAATACAGACCCTGTATGCAATATATTGAAGGTGATTATATATTTCTTCTCTTCTATGGAAAAACTTGACAGAAGGCATTATTAGTTATAATTTTAATTCATTTTTGTTTAAGTAATTTCTAATGAAACGAGGATTATATTCATTATTTCCAGCATATGCAAAATAGAATTTACTTCTTTATTAAAATCTAATTCTAACTTATTAACATTAAATAATCTTTGAATTCAAGAATGGAAAACAGAAAATTTACGTTGAAAGATATGGTTGGAATTAAAGAGGATCAAATCCGATTGAGTGAGTTTTCTGAAAATTTCAAAATTATGTTTTTTGTTTTTCACAGAAATATGTGAGTCTAAGAAAAGGGGTAGCAGGATAAGAATGGAGTGGCGGCCCTCGGGGTAGCCGGGGTAACCACTGTATCAGACCGTCTCTAGGTGATAAAAAAAACTTGATTGAGCGCATTTTCAAGGTCATTTATGCACCATTATAGGTCATCATTTTTAAAAAAAAAAAAAACTGATTTTTTCACATTTTATGGAAAACATTTTTTTAACTAACTTAAAGTTACATTCTCGTACTATAAAGTGTTTCTATATACGATACGTAATTCAAATTTTTTTTCAGAAGTTTTCAAAGCGATTATCATACTCAAAAGTCTTTTTTCTTATTAAAAAACACAAAAAATTACTTTTTTTTTTTTGCACAAAAGAGGATGGTTTTCTACTTTTTTGAACCGTATAAATGACCCCAAATAAAAATTTAGAGAATTTAATTTGCTTTTTTTTGCGCACAAATCCCGTTCAGCAAAAATTGATTTTAAGTAAACCTGTCTTATAGCACTTTCAATATACAATGATTAACAACTGAAATCTGAATTTTTCACTCATTATATTTGTGTACTGTACTTCTAACATGAAAATGGATATGTAAAATATAAATTATATTAGTTTTATCTTATTTTTACGTAATTGTTTACATTACTTTATTATGAAATATAATTATTTTAATTGTTGTACAAAAATTGATAGTTTTTCTCACTTTAACCTTTTGAATTTGAGCAAAAACAAAAGTGTAAACGAACTTTGGTGTTTGGGAAGGTTGTTGATATTACTTTTTAGCAATTGTTGTTTTCGCTCTTATGTACAATCCCAAAAGTTACTATTTTAATCATAAGTGCACGACAAAGTGCTCGCGCCAGTTGAAGAAAAAGAAGGACCCTCATCACAATTGTCACGTTTATCTATAACGTCAGAATCTTCGCCCGACTCTTCTTCGTTGCTTAATGATCCACATTATACCTTCCGAATTAGAGAAAACAAGGAAGTGGAATATGTTGATATGCCGTTTAATCAAGTTATTTTGTCTCACAATTATTGTTGTGTGTGTTATGTAAGGCCTGATACATTGAACGTTGTCCCTTTGGAAGCTCGGATTCAGATTTTCATAAAAACTCGGATTTTCATACCTAAAGGCAATTGATGCTGTGCGAATCACCTGATTAATCAACGTTAATATCGTGACGACATTGATAAAATGAAAGTTTATTCTCAGAGTTGCCTCATAGATAAAGAAGAGATTAAACTATTCCTGAATGAATTATCAAAGCAGTGTAATACTAGTATTCTTCATGAATTAGCAGAAAATAAATTATCAGAAGAACACATAAAAGCATTGACTGGTTACACTGCAGAAGAAATCAACTTGTTAAAAAATATGCTTACGTCCATGCGAGACACCCAAAATCGTAGCGTATACGAAGCTCTTTGTCTCTTTCTATTCAAGCTCGGAAACAGGTTCTTCTAATAGTATCATGGCAGCTATTTTCGATATATAGTACGAACAAAACATATCTAATTACTGTGAATCAGTATTAGAGTCATTTCAAACGGATGTATTGCCGCGTTACATTGGAGCTCAAGCATGTTCTCGAGAAGATTTGATTTTGAATCATACATCGCCTTATGTAGAAAAGCTGCATGGTTACCAAAATCGTCTAATTCTCATTTCTGATGGTACCTATCTCCGATACGAGAAAAGCAGTAGCAATTACTATTAAAGGAAGTCTTATTCCAGTCAAAAAAAGGTCCCTCTCTGTAATCCTTTTACAGTATGCACTACTGATGGCTTTGTGATTGATACTTATGGGCCATATATAGGAACAATTAATGATGCAGAAATAATGAAAGAAATTTTAAATGACCCGAATGGCTTGAAAATTCTTCTGAAAGAGGGTGACGTCTTCATAGTTGACAGAGGCTTTAGAGACATAAAGACGTACCTTGAATCAGAAGGGAATATTGTATTAATTCCAGCTTTAAAAGGTCAGAGGAAACAACTTTCAAAGGCGGGGGCAAATGAAAGTTGCTTTGTTATTAAACTAAGAGGGGTTGTTGAAGTGATTCACGGTATTCTTGGAACCAAGTTCAAGTTACTACACAATCAACTAGATAATAAGCTTCTACCAAAAGCTAAAGTTTAATGCAAAGTCGCTACTTTATTAGTAAATCCTTTTGGAAAACGTCTGAATTATGACACTGGTATCCAAGACGAAATAGCTCAACACATGCTTTCAATGAAGAACATTGATAATTCTCTTGCAAAAGAAGTAGAAGAACACAACCGGAACCGAAAGAAGAAATCATTTGGACAGCTAACGTCAAATGACGTATTAGGTTTTCCAGAAATGACAGAAAAAGATTTACAAATTATTTTTACTGGCTCATATCAACTGTTGCAAGCAGTGTCATATTTGGCGGAACTATACACAGAAGATGGCGAGATTCGTGTCAATCATTTAGTAGAAGACAAGATGACATTAAAATTCGAAGTTAGGTTCAGACACATAAACTGTAAAGTGTATAAGTGTTACCTTCAGTACAAACCAAATTCAATCGGATATATGGGAGTGCTACGTTATGTCTGCGATTGTGCGAATGGATTAAGAACCTTTGGATGCTGTTCACATGTAGCAATGATAATTTATTTCTTAAGCTATGCGAGATACTTATCACGAATCATTCGGCCTGCGGAAATTCTTACAAAATTGTTTGAGGTTGACAAAGTACCTGCAATTATTAACGAGGATAGCGATGACGATTAGGTTTAAATGTTATGATGTAGGATTTCTAATTGTTAATCATTGTATATATAAATGTACTTTAAAAATATGTAAACAAATACGTACAAATAAGATAAAACTAATATAATTTATATTTTACATATCCATTTTCATGTTAGAAGTACAGTACACAAATATAATGGGTGAAAAAATTCAAGCATTTCTAGTGTTACCTCATGGTATATTAAAGTGCTATAAAGACAGGTTTACTTAAAATCGATTTGCGCTGTACGATTTTGGCCGCAAAAAAAAAGCAAATTAAATGTCTCTAAATTATTATTGGGTCATTATACGTTCAAAAAAGTAGAAAAAACATCCTCTTTTGTGCGAAAAAAATAGTAATTTTTTTGTGTTTTTAATAAGAAAAAAGACTTTTGAGTATGATAATCCTTTAAAAACTTCTGAAAAAAAATTTGAATTACGTAATCGTATATAAAACACTCTTTAATATAACGATGAATGTAAGTTTAAGTTATTAAGTTAGTTAAAAAAAAAAATGTTTCCATAAAAATGTGAAAAAAATCAGTTTTTTTTTTAAAAATATACTATAATGTGCAAATTACCTTGAAAATGCGCTCAATCAAGTTTTTTTTATCACCTAGAGACGATCTGGTACAGTGGTTTCCCCGGCTACCCCGAGGGCCGTCACTCCATTCTTATCCTGCTACCCCCTTTATGTTATGGCTCTGTAATTTCTTCTGTAACAGAATCATCATCTTAACTACACAGAGCTTACTGTTCTAATTCTATTTTAGAGGTTAAATTACGGTGAACATAATTTAATAATAATGATAATAATATTTATTATTGTTCTTATTGTTTTTATTTTTATTATTATTATTATTACTGTTATTATTATTATTATTATTATTATTATTATTATTATTATTATTATTACTATTACAATTTAATTGTTCATTTACATAATACTTTGATGATTTTGATTTCTTTTTGCCTGTTGAGTACTGTCATTACAAGAATTTTTTGTTAATTATGTACAACTAAATCTTTATTTTTACTTTTAACTGCAATCATTACAATTAAGATTTTAATTGGTGAATTAAGGAATAACATGAAAATAATTCTTAATACCCGTTTTGTCAGTTGCCTGCTCTCATTCAGTTTTATTGATTTTGATTTTTATTTTAGATAAAAATGTGATTGTAATTTGTCAATTAATAATTATGTCAATTATTAATTATTCACTGTAAAGACTCATTTTTGTTATGATTTATAATTCACTTCTAATTATTTAATTAATTGCCTCATAATTTTTATGGCTACTGCTTGTTCAATAACCAGGATAGAAGCGAATGGGGGGGGAACACTTCCATCGTCCCTATCTACAACTCTGGACATTTCCTACAGCCAAAATCCACCTCCTACGCCACTGCCAGTCTTTGATTAAAAGTAATGTCAAGTGAAATAAAATATCTAAAACCACTGGCCTTGACAGCATGTACCAGGAATAGATGTGCTATGTTGCTAAATTGAAGAAAAGTGTTGATAATTTGGAAATTGGAAAGATTAACTATTGCACTTAATAACGACTTCAGAAAATATGAAAGAGCGATGATAAAATGAAGATAAAATAAAATATGAATATTAAATTCATAATTTGTCAGAAGTTCTGTGGCTGTATCTATACTTAAAAACAATGTTTAGCAACTTTCCTTTTGTTTTTTAAAAAATCTCAAATTTCACAGAGATACACTGTGTTTTACCTGACACGCTGTCGGCTGACAGAACTACTTGGAGATGCTTGTCGTGCTGACCCTTTAGGAATTGTCTCTGAATCTGCAGCATCTACTGAGGAACTTGCAACCACAGGTTCAGTGTCCCAAACCACATTGCGGATTTTTACCTCATCAGATGATCCTCTGCAATACAAGAAATATCATCACATTTTTGCATGTATACAATATTCAACAAAAGATACACGGGCCTAAATATAGACATGTTGAATAATTACATTTTACAAGGCCCTATCTAAGTGGTGGGCCCAAAAAATGCAAATGAATAAATGAAGATTCCTGTTAAAAAGCATGTATTTTTAATTGATATTGTACTAATTAAAACATTACTGGTAACAAAAAGGAATCTAACAATTCCTCAGAAAAAAATGATCTTCCATATTAAAAATCATAATAAATTACTCACTTACTATAGAACAACATTATTTTTAAGCTATGTTTTGAAAAAGAAAAAAATTGCTAACAGTTTAAAAACAAACTGTCACATTATACATATTTTTTGTAGCTAATATGAAGTTCTAATAAAAATTCTTCTCTCAAAAGGTCAAAAATAAATTTATTTTACAATTGAAATTAATAAATTTACTTCTAACCATTATTTCAACATAAATTTGCAACACATTTTATATTGTTATGGTTTTCAACCAAGAGACAAGGTTGGCCTTTTAACAATATAAATATGTTATCCTCACCTCTTGACACGAACTCTTTTAGTGTATTTTCCATGAACTTCTTTTATGCTGCTAGTTTTATCTGAACCAGTATCTGGAGATGACTTAGAATCAGAACCTATGAAAAATGCAAAATAATAATTAGAAATGCATCATAAAAAGGCTTTGTTATAATTCTATCACAAGATTTCTAATTTCTTAAAAATAAACCAGTAATTGAAATAAGTCTAAATATCCAGTGACAATAAAACAGTAAATAAAAATGTGCAAATTTAACATTAGAAAATTACGTATATTGCACTCTTCATAGCAAAACTCATGAGACGAAATATTATCTTTCATTGTGAAGAGTTTTTGTTATACGGGGAAAGTGTATTGATGTATAGGATAAAAAAGTAAACCCAGCAAATTCAAGGAAGATTTTCATTATTAGGAGTTTTGTTTAATGAATAGGAGTTTAAAGATTAGTAGTATAAACTTGTGGAATACTGTGTTTATACTACTGATCTCAGATAACTTCAGGAACACAAATTAATTCATTACCTCTTCAAATACTGATAAAATAATAGAACTTCCATTAATTGTATTTCCAAGAATAAAAATCACCTGTCTTTTTTTATTTTTGAAATCAAATTCTTTTTTGATACGAGATCATTCAATTTTATTTTACGTTATTACATATAAAATTCTTTGATACTGATAAAATGCAGGAATTACTCAGGAAAGATGAATGTGTCCTTGAGATGAGGTGGTACAAAATTCTGAAGTTCAGCAATTTCTTGCTTCAATTCACACAATTTCAGGTTAATTATTAAGGATCCGACAAATCAATATGTGAAAAAAATATCTTACACAATGCAGAATAGGAGGTAAATGTTTACAATATTTTTTAAACAGAAATCATTTTCTTCAGAAAATTCTTTACATATTTATGTAAATCAGCAGTCAGCTTCATAAGTAGTGCCCATACTTCATCATTAGAGATACCAGAAAAATGACTTAATACAAGTTAACATCAAAGTATTAAGGTACAGCAACAATAATTTTGCATATTTTGGCCTATTCTGGAGTAATGCCATTAAATGCAGTTAGTCACAGCCTGACAGGACAGATGCATTCTGGAATTTGGCCTAATTTAAGACCGAAAGATTATATTCTTGTCGTGACGTTTCAGAAGGTATAATGACCATAAAGCCATTTTAGTCAATTTACCTTAAGTATTTCAAAGAAAAGTATTACCACGGTATTCTAGTGAAGGAATACAAGAAAGCGAATGTACAAGGGTTTCAAAATTACTTAAGAGAACGATTATGGCGAGTTTCTTAGAATAGGAGGAGAATCGATGAAATATGGGAGAGTTTAAAATATTTTAGTAAATGCTGAGCAGGCTTTTTACCCAATAAATTGTTAAAAAATAACAGCATCCGGAATATTATAATGCAAGATTGCGATTGAGAAAAAAACAGAATGCATTTAACAACAAACACCAAAGTGAAAATCATTTGACCTTATTTCGAAATTATACAAAAGCATTAAGGAAGGAAAGAGAAAATGGCAGAGGAACGTCATTTAAACATTTCTTGATGCGGAGGGCAGTAATAACTGGTCAGAATTTTTAAATACGTTCATAGGAAGAAACTAAGTAAAGACGAGATTCAGTTGTTTGTGTCAATAATACGCCAATAACGGACCACAGGAAAAAGTGCAGGCTTTTAACGCATATTTCAGCTCGGTTTTAAGCAGAAATCTTAACAGTATTTAGATCCAACCACTGGTAGATAGAAGTCGTTTTCATATTGATGTAAATACTTTGCGGGAAAGAATAAAATTAATGAAGAGAAGAAAATCACGAGGTCCTGATGGTATTTCCACAGTCATCATTAAATTAGGTGGAGAGGCTATTCTACCGTATTTAATTAGGTTATTTAATGTATCATTAAACAACGCTTGCGTACCGGAAGATTGGAAGCTGGCTCACACAGTACCTACTTTTAAAAGTGGCGACAAGACAATACTTAGTAACTATAGGCCGGTAAGCCTAACATCAGTCGTATGCAAACTTATGGAACATATAATTTCAAGCTATATCAGGAAAGAATGGGAGGGCAGGGAGTGGCTTTATCACGGTCAGCACGGTTTCAGAAATGGTTTTTCATGTGAAAGTCAGCTAGTCTGACTTCAACAGGACCTAGCCGACGTAGTTGATGAAGGGAAAAGGGTCAACGTGATAGTAATAGATTTTTCCAATGCTTTTGATGTTGTTTCACACGATCGTCTTATAAAGAAATTAATAAATTCGGGTATAGACACTAGAGTGGCAGCATGGATAAACGAACTATTCCGGAAAAGGAAACAGAGAGATCAAATTGGTAGTTACTTATCAATCTCGAGAAGCGTCACGTTAGGAATTCCACAAGGAAGTGTAATCGGACCACTCATGTTTCTGGCCTTCGTGAATGAATTGCTGACTAATTTAGCTTCAAATGTACGACTCTTTGCAGATGACTGTGTAATCTATAGGATTATCAACTCAGAGAAAGACGAGGATATTTTGCAGCGAGACTTAGACAAATTACATATCTTGAGTGAAGTGTGGTGGAGTAGAGTTCTATGAAAGATTGCACGATGAAATGTAAATGTGATTTTGTAAAGCTTGTAGATTTTGTATAGTTGTTAAGTTCTGTAATGTTAAGTTAGTGTATTCTGCCACCAAGTTCTCACACTTAATTGCAGAATTATTAATAAATCTAATCTAAATACCAATTTAACTGGTTTGCTATATTAATTTTTTAATTTGTTGATGCTTGACCCAGTTCCCTTTAGAAAGTGAATGGTGTGAGATTCTCTGCAATTGAGAGTAGCTTTTAAATTTACTGCAGATGAAGAATTTACATTATTCAGTAAATTGGAAGTTTATGGTATCATAACATTACAGATAGTCTGAACCAATGGTCCGATTTTCGATCTGTATGCGGCATTTGAAGCTTTTTTAAATAGAATTTACTCTACCAAGCCCATTTTCCAAAAATTTGGCAAAAACTAGAATTTGAAATTGAATTGAGCTTCCGAGAAAAAAATTAAAAAATGTGGGCTTATAGAGCGATGGCAACGCAACATGTTTCCTGAATCCAACGGCGTGTCAATCATGCAAATCGGATGTTTAGGAGCGTCGTAAAGTGAAATTTTGGAAAACACCTAATCCTCCTCCCCCTTTCACCCGTCGCGTCATCCTTCCATTGAGGGCTCTCTCTCGGCGCGGCGGCACGGCCAGTCCCGGGCCGGGACTCCCGGCAGAGGCGGCCAAACTTGCGAGACCAGGCAGTCGGTTTATGCTTTCGTCACTCTACATCTCAATATCCCCCCCACACACACACACACACACATATCAAAATAGTGATGTCGTAACAAATGTAAATAGTCTCGTATCATCTGTAATAGTGGTATAAAACTATTTATACAGTTCACATATTTCCGTCTTCCTTCGAATACCGATATACAATTGTTTGAGGCATTACTCAAAATATCGATTCCGATTTGGAACTGATTTCAAAAAGAAAATTGAACTAATTGTGTAAATATCACCAATATTCTACTGCCTCATCTAATTTTACATATATTTTACTTCCAAGATCTTCCAATATCATTCCACCACCGGAAAGAATGAGCAGATATTACCCACGATCACTTTTATCCTACGACTCGATTTTTCATCCCAAAACGGCGTTTGTCTCCTCGATAGAATTATTGTAACAATTATTGTACGACAGCTTCTGAGTCAATGACCCCTATCTTTATCAGGTTTTCGTCTAGTCTGCCTGATCTTTGAGCAAATGCTGAGGTGACTCCTTGTTTTTCTTTTGGTCATACATATAACTTCAAATTAAGTTCCGCAAGTTTGACCTTCTCCTCGTTGCACGTAACACACAGTTTTTAACTGTTTTTGACATAAATTAAAAAAAAAATATTGTCTTTGCGCCCGATTACCGGAGGGCGCGATGATTCTGCGGCTTTTTTTCAAACAATGGCAGTATGTACACGGTACGGTTATCAAAATTATTTTTGACGTGTTGAATAGCTGTTCGGAGCGAATGACGCCTATTTTGGCGTCCGCCCCAGTGAAGCAACGGCGTGAGTAATCCCTTCCTAGCACCCTGCGCAGCGGCTGACGCGCAAGAGAAATTAGAAGCACTGGAAGGAACGCAATTAAGGCTCCGTTGTAATAAGACTTATTGGAGAAAAACGAAAGTAAAATGTATATGCTCGTCCTTTTTATAATTCGTGAAACTGTTACCGTCACTTCAAAATCTTCTGATTCGTCAACAATTATAACAATTGTGAATCTTCATCTTTCTATGTGAAGCTATTAAAATCTTCATTTTTTTGCGCGCGTCTGATTCTACCTGTCCACCACAGTTGTGAAACCACGGTGTATGTTATTGTTCCGTGGTATCTATATGCGACGGACAGTCGTTCCTTCACCGTCACCAGCCGCAAAGAGGGCAAATTTCGCATTTCCTGTATTAGGTGGTATCAGAAAAGCAACGAAATTTGTTTTCGGATACTACTGGGCAACAAAAAGCGACAAATTCCCATGTAATTATTTTTTTATTTATTCCCATGTAATTATTCTTCGTTTTCTGGTACTTGCGGTGCTAAAGTGATGTCCAGTTTGCCAATTGTTTATTGCAGGGTCAAATGAAGCGCGGCAATTCTTTTGCGTAACAAATTTGCAACAAAAAATCGACAAATTTTGAGTTTAATTCCATTTTGTTAAAACTTTGCTATGCTAATTTTACGGACCTCGTGAGGAGGAGTTCCAAATCCGACGCGGCACTGGAACTGTGGTTCGCAAATAGACAACATTGCGAATGCCCTTACCAAGTTTACTAATATTGATTGGCTCGCTTGCTCGCTGCCGTTTTTCACTTTATACGTTCCGCTCCATCTCCGCTATCGCTACTACTGATCATTCTTGAGCCACCAAGTCACCTTAGTTTATAGGACTTGTTCGAAGGATGACCACGTAAAAATCGGAATTATTTGGAAACGCACAATTTTCAAGATAAATGCAGTTCTATACTTCGGTTATAGAGGATACGAGAACGTCTGCCTCAATTCTAGCACCAGCAGTGTGATTTGTGAAATAAAATAAACTATCGATGCAACAGAATGATACAGACTTTCTCAAACTAGTTCGTTTCCTTATTTCTTTGCTCTGGTCTATGTTTTCGGTTTTACTCTACCCTCTTCCCAGCTGCCATCTACTGCCACCTAAAGATAATTTTTGCACATTTTTTTCAAATCTTCGTATCCCTAAAGATAGAACCGAATCATGACTTTAAGAATATTCTAGAAATATAAAACCCCGTCATACATGTACATTATCGTTGAAAAACTTTAAGAAATCAATGTTTGAGTGTAAATGAAAACGCAGAACTGCGAGTTCAATTTCTCAGAATACTTTTGAATTTTAGAGGAACTTTATGAGCAGAGACCAGATTTTTATGTAATTACATACTTTTTATCTTTCTACTTACCGATCCAAAAATTTTAATTTTGGCGAATCGTCGCCGTCCTAACAATAACATTTTGCGTTACATATTTTTACATATTTAGTACTATATTTTATTTTTATTACTATTTTCACAAAAAAAAAAAATTCTATCAATTTTCTTCAATTCAACTCTTATTTCCTACTTCGTTACTGCGTGCTGTCTACTCGAGGTTCGCTATATTAAGACGCGGTAGAATGTTCTCACAGTCCTGCTTGTCTGCATCAGTTACCTCAGTGGCGGGAAGTGTACGTCAGTGACTGAGATCAGTTTCGCCTTCAGGTGTGAAAAATATCACTGACGCCGTGTCTCGTGAACTTTAACCTTAATTTCCGAGAAACTTTGCCGAATGACATGTAACTCTTCGCTGAGAATGCTACACGCTGCAGTGATAGTTTGCAGGTCGTAGATATCGCCCGCTTGTAGGATGGTTTCTATTGCGTCTAGTCTGGCTGCTAAACGATCGTACTGAATAGCAGTAGATGAAAGTTTTACAAATGACAAGAAAGTTGTAAGGTACAAAGCATGAATCAATTTGAACTCTTCAAATTATTTTTAAAACGTTTGTATCACTTTTAAAATTTATATCGTATTTTTTTAATAAATGTAATTTCATGTTATGTAATGTTCGTTTTATAATTGTGTATTTGCATATTACATATTTTATCCTATTTTATTTATTGTTACTGTTTTCATTACATATTTTTCCGGTTTCCATTTTTGAGACATTAATTAAACAAACGCAATAATGTATACAAATCGCTGGTAATCTAAATATTAAGTACGTGAGGGAAATGTCAAAATAAGTGTAAGTTTTGAAAAATAAAAAAAAGAATAAAGCAATATGGTGTTTATGCTATTTTACACAGGACAATGAGAAAGATTCGTACCAAAACCAGAGCCAAGACTGAGATATGTTCTGTATTGACAGAAAGTTAAATCAGGTGTAAGAATGGAACAAAATGAACATTGAGACTGGTTATATACATACATCAATGGAACTGTAGGATACAATAAATCATCTTAAGCCTGTGAAATTAGAAAGAAAATGAGAAGAAATAATGAGGATAAAAGCATGGTACAAAGAATCCCCTCACAAAAATGGATATACCACTACTCAATGCTTCTACAAGAAAACAGACCAGAATGTGAAGGAGAAGAAAGAAGAGATTTGTAAGAAAATAATTTTGAAAAACTGAGGATGGTATTAAAAAGGCACTATGCAAAGCAAAAACCAATAGACGGGAAGCAAACCAGGAGAGGGACATATGAGAATGGAGCTCCTGAAACATGATGGAGTTGTGGCTGTGAGATACCTAAAGAAAATGTTCAATAAGATAGAAGTAGGGATCAACTTGTCGAATAGAACACATTCTATATCTCTTCAATATTGAAGAGGGAGACAAACGATTATGGGTGATTTACAGGAGAACAAGTGTCATAACATCAACAGCAAGATTGTTTCCTAGTATTTTGAGTTAAAAAATTGAAGATGTACCCAGATATATTCATGGAAGAGCAGAGTGGTTTTAGATGAGGACGATCATGCCTAGATAACATCCACTGAATCAGACAAGTTATTGAGAAACATAAAAGCATAATTAGGAATATTTATGTGACCTTTATAGACTTCCAGAAAGCACATGATAGTGACCCAAGAAAAAAGATATGGAAAGCAATGAGAAGGATTGATATAAAAAAAGAAAAATGGGTCAACCTAGTTAAAACATCTTTACACAAAAAAATTTACAAAAACACTGACACAAATTAAAATAGGAGATAAGTTAACTGGAAGCATTTCGAAAAACAAGGGTCCACAACAAGGATGTGGGTTACCTCCTATTTTGTTCAACATCTACCTAGAACAAGCCCTAAATAACTGGTACAGGAAATATTTAGGTGCTGGAATAAAAATTAGAAATGACACCTTCCCTTCATTTGCTGATGACCAGGTAATTATTGCTCAAGATGAAGAGGATATGGTGTTTATACTAAGAAAGTTAATAGAATATACTAAATGGGAATTAGAAACACATTTTAATAAAACTGAATGTATGTGCATTGGACAAGCAATAATGGATATAGACGTGAATGGTAACAAAATTAAAAGCTGCAACACCTTCAAATATCTTGGATCATTAACAAACAACTTGGATACATGTGCTACAAATATTAACTCAAGAGTAATTACGAGGACGAAAGCAACAAAAGCTTTACTGCAAAGATGTCAAAAGGATATTCCACCGTGTAATAGAAAATATAGTACTATATACGGAGCGGGAATGTGGCCACAAACAAAAAATAAGAGATAAGATTAAGACAGTAGAAATGGACTACATAAAATAATGCCTACAACTTACTTGCAAAAGAGAGTGCGGAATGAAGAAAAATGGAGAAGGATGGATGTAATTTTTCTATTACAAAGACCTTAGTAAATGCAGCACTACAATGGTATGGACATGCTCAAAAAATGTCTGAAAACAGATGGCCACACAAGATCTTAAAGTGACAACCCTGAGAGGAGAAGACAAGGAAGACCCATTTCCTAGTGGGAAAAATACATCCACGAAACTATGGAGGATAGAGGCCTCAAACGAAATTAGGAGAACTGAGAGTTGTGGAGAGAGAAAACAGCAAGCTCCTGAGGCAAAAATGCCAAAGAAGAAGAATACTTTATGAGGATATTCCTTAAATTTATTAAATCTAAATGCAGTTATATTTAAAATGATCACCAGGAGGTCCATGCCTGTTCTTGTGATTCATTATACACCGGACCACATATCAGACTGCTTACCACTTTCAATCTTTAATGCTTTCAGGTTGAGTATGCAGGCAGTCTGCCAAAGACTGTTTAGTTTTTCCACAGAAAAATCATAGTTGTACAAAAAATTGGAAGTTTGCTCAAGGTCGCAAGTGTTTGTAGTACTTAGCAAATTCATGAGCCAAATGATTCAAATTCTCAAACATACATTTTTAGTTAATAGCCAAAAGTGTACATTGGAAATGGAAAATGTCTGCTTTTGAAACTGAAAACCAAACCCTAAGAAATAATAAATGATTGGGTGTATACTACATGGGCTCCCCCTCCTAATATTTTCTTAAAGTTGGCACCTTTGTATTACATGAATGTAATGGTCATTCTGAAGTCACTCACCGACAGATCGGGAACGAGAAGAAGCTAGTACACGACGCTTGGTGCGTTTTAAACGCCGAGACTTAGTAGAAAGTACATCGCGACCAGCAGGTGCAGCATGAGGTGCTACAATCTGTGAGTGCAAGAAGCTGAGGATGAGCATCATTGCTGATGGAACCAAAACTTCAGAAGCACAGATATGCTGTAAATAAATAAAATCATATCAATAGATGAGCATACTCTACCAGTACAATTATTTCAATTTAACAATCACTATGCTCAGGAATACAACAGTTCATGGATATTCTAGAATGTAATATTTTATTACTTAAAATAAGATAAAATCAAATAATAACACTCTCTTGCTAAATTAATGTAAATATTGCAGTTCATAAAATTCATAAAATCATTCAAAGATCTGGACACTTTAAAATACTTCATAAATAATTGATAACAATGCTTCAAGAATGATTGATAAGTTAAATTTTCCAAAAATTGTATTAACAAACAAGTCAATCTTACTAAAATTATAATTAAATATTTTCTAATAATGAATTCATTTTGAATCCTTTTCACTCATTTCTTCCCAATCCAAGGCACAATATTCAGAAAAACTTCAATAAATAACAAAATGCTTGAGAAAATATTGACAGTGTTTAAGAAAAGGATCTACAAATGAACAAATCTCAATTATTAAACTATGTGCAAAGAAGAATTGTTATTGCTCACCTCTAACACATCCTCATCTGAATACCAAGTGCACCAAAAGAACAATGCCATATTAAAGAGCTGTAGACAATAAAGCATCAACAGCAGAACAAACACTTTTCGTGATGTCTGCTGTACCCACCAAGATCCATATAGTGGTAATAAAAGCAGCCGTACAAGAGACAGCCGCATCACAGTCATTAATCCATGTTTTGGCTTTGCTTTGGGAAATGATGAACCTGAAGAATAAAAAACATGATCTCAATATGGTACTAATGCTAGAAATATTATAAAGAGACTCTTTAGAAATAATCAATAATTAATTCCCAAACACATTCACTAGAATTGTAATCTCAATCTCTTTCACATGGATAAAATGTGGTAATTATTGTTATAAAGTTCATTTGCTTAGTTAATTATTTCTCTTTGTGCAAATCCAATCAAAAAATTAAATACAAACCTCTTACTAAATCCACATCTATCAACTCGGTCTTCAATTTTGCTGTTTTCTTTGGAACATGAGTAAGTCCATGTAAAATTCGTTGTTCAATAGTGTGCTCCCATTGTTGTTTGTCATAAGTGCCAATTTTTTTCTGATACCTGTTAAAAATGTAAGTAGATTTTCATGAAAATAAACTATATCCTTACTTAATGATCAAGTATTAGTATTTCATTAATCATTCATAAACTCACCATGAAACTATTTCTTGAAAACCCATCATTTAGACTCTTTCATATTATCTTGTCTGAAATCTGACAGGTTGCACCATGAGAAACTGCTTTGTGGTCTGCTACCACTAGCAGAATTTACCAGAGACAACAGGCAACATTACCCCAACCTTCAGTTCCTTTGGAAGGTTTTCAAATTAACTGCTCATGCAACATCGTTTCCTATTTTAGAACTAAATATCACAAATAGATTCACATTCAAGGTCTAGGACTCATAATATTATCATCACTGCAATGTAAAGACTAGCAGATTATTTATAAAACTGAAAATTCTTAGGATTTACTTACATCTAACTGCAAGAATCATATAAGTAAAGGCAATACACGGTCGGCGGAATATATTGACATGCATAAATATCAACATACAAGATAATAGATGCACGATTCAAATTTAGAAGTCAAGGCCACGAAGACCTTTATAAGTTAAATGTTCTTGTCTTCAATGAAATATTTCATTAATCGCTACATTGCTTTATTTCTATTTCAAAGCTTTTTTACATCTTTTTTATAGTCGTTCTAACATGAGGAGAATGCAGCAGTATGCTTTCAAATGCATACAGCTGTTTTCTTCCGTCTTCCGCCTATCCACGCATTTGTCAGCGAACAGTTGTGAAGATTGGCATAATCCGCACCAAGAGAAAACATTAGCGCTCGATGACACTAGCTTTTACTTCTCTCACTAGATGGGGATGGTGTTGGCGCTTAGAATAATTCTTCCGTGCTTTCTTCAATCCTTGCGCCGTGGGCAGCAGAGAGTATATTACATTACAGTGGTGGGCAGGCCGTGGGATTGTGTTGTTTTGACGGGGTCAAGTTCGTTTCGTTTGCTTTCGGGGACGCTTCCGGACGTTTCAATGCAAGTGTTTACGCGAAGGTTATGTTTCAGTGTTGTTTCAGATAAGATTTGAAGTGTATAACACATTGTATACAAGTGAACATTCGATATTTTGTACCTGACGTACTTGAGTCATTTCTTATAAAAGAACTGCCTTGATAGTAATAATAATAATAATGACGGATCAAAGTTTAATGGATAAGTCTTTGCGTTCGGTGTTCGGTAAGCTATCATAAGGGAATCTTGAATTACTATTTGAATTTCCTTGCAAATATTTAGCTTTCATTTTCGAATATTAATTTTTCAGTTGGAAACATTCCTTATGAAGCCACAGAAGAAAAGTTGAAAGACATATTTAGTGAAGTTGGCCCAGTTTTGTCTTTCAAGTATGTGTAAAAAGTGTCATTTAAATGTGTTTGAAGATAATGAGAGATGCTTGCATTAACTTAAGTTTTGCTTTGCAGGCTGGTGTATGATAGAGAGACAGGGAAACCTAAAGGGTATGGCTTCTGTGAGTACAAAGATCAAGAAACTGCTTTAAGTGCCATGAGAAATCTGAATGGTTATGAGATTGGAGGTCGAACTCTTCGTGTTGACAATGCTTGCACAGAAAAATCACGAATGGAAATGCAGAGTGAGATACAGAATGTTTAATGTATTTATATTTTTGAAAAAACAAAAGAAAGTTAGAACTTTTAACATTATTTTTCTTTACTTTGACTAGGTTTACTTCAGGGCCCTGTTGTTGAAAACCCATATGGAGAAGCTGTGCAGGCTGATAAAGCTCCTGAAGCCATCAGTAAAGCTGTGGCTTCTTTGCCCCCAGAACAAATGTTTGAGCTTATGAAGCAAATGAAATTGTGCGTGCAAAACAACCCCACTGAAGCTAGGGCAATGCTATTACAGAATCCTCAGTTGGCATATGCTTTACTGCAAGCCCAGGTTGTCATGAGAATAGTGGATCCTCAAACAGCTGTTGTGAGTGAAAATTATTCTTTTTTGTAACATGCTATTATAAGGAGTGCATAAGGCTACATTATTATCAAGTTTGAAGAAATTTATGAAAGTAAATCTTTTCCATCATACATTAATATACTTCTATAACAAGTTAACATTTTTTTCTGCCTTCATGATGAGACAATATACACGCTAGAGGTCACAGTTTGTGAACAATCTGGCAGAACTTGAATCCCTCTAAGTTTGAAATGAACCTTTTAATTTTTGTGGATAGTGTGCTGTTATGATTCCGATAATGGGTTTTTGGACTTTCTCTATTGTGACTTAACATAGAACTTACTTTTCAGACTACTAAGTGCTACATTAATCAAACATGTAAAATAATATAATTCAAGAAAGAAAAAATATTCACTGGGTCTTTGTTAGCATCTTACTTCTTCGTTATTCCATATCGCAAGTGTAAAATCTGACAATTTTCAGAGTATTTATAAGACTATTTTTTTTATTTTGAGATGACTCGATGGCAGTCGTTGCCACTGCAGCATTGCAGACCAGGAGATTCTAGGGTTTGAACCCCAGTGTTGTCAGATTTTCAACTAGCATCATGTGTAGATTGAATTCAATTGTCGTCTGGAGAAGTAGCTATACTGCAATTTATGCAAGTCCACCCCTGGCAGGAATTGGCTATTGACAGTTTCATCCAATTGGGAGCTTAAACGTCTCTATGGTTACGTTCAAGCTCCCAATTGGATGAAGCCGTCAACAGCTGATACCTGTAAGGGGCAGACTGCGTAAATCACAGTAACACGGTTGTGATTGGCATTTAGTTACTTGTGGTTGCTCCACGGTTCAATACCAGACGAATCCTGGAGCAGTGTCCAAACTGAAAGGCAATAGAACATGTATGAACAACTTCCTGTCCTCACAGTACTATACTACTACACGTATCAGGCTAGTCCAGCTGAGGTGGTTCCCCGCTGGGGTAGGTACCTTGTGAAAGAAACCTCACAAGGCAACTTGCCAGATCTGTTCTAGCGGAGGTGAAAAACCACCGCCTCTCAGATAAAAGAAGTACCATACTTGCATGATAATGACAAATTAGTTTACGGTCCTGAAATCGTGAATTACTCATTTTTGTATTGTTCTCATGATATTTTCAGAATGCTGATTCCTTGAACCACCTTGGCCAAATTTTTTTAGCTTTGGCAATGGGGTTTGTGGAGTACAGAATGTCGTAGGATTACTAGTTACATTTTGTTTTCAGATTTTCGTCTGATTGTTAGTCTTGGTATCTTTTTACAACGTGATCAGACCCGGTGAAAAACAGAACTCTGTCCGAATTGATTTATGGGAGAAACAGAAATAAACAAACAATGACTAAATGGAAAAATTAGTAATGTTACAGCTTAAGTCAAAAATTCACATGTTAGCCAGGCTGTTTGGATGAACTTGTATGATGGACGGTGAATGGATCATTTCACACATCGAATATTTTTGGCTGTAGTCAAGGGCACTGGTGGTTGTTGAAGTAAGGTGATTGTTGGAGTACAAGGTGTCTTGTGAGTTCGCGATAAGTAGTTTTATGTAAATCGCAGAGCAAATGCAAATATAAATTTACATTTGACAGTGTAACTCAATGCTACACGCCGCCTATTAGCCATAGAAACTTCCCTCTAGCAGTCTGATTTCTGTTTATAACATTATCTATTCCTCATAGCCCTAACGTACTTAACTCACCCAAGCTATCTCGCGTTGGCTAATGTGCACTTCATTCAACGAAAGCCTTCAGCTGTTCTTCAAACTTTATCCACTAATTTTGGAGAATGTGAACTGGCTAATTAGCCAAATTTAGACTAGCTGTAACGTATACAATAACTTGGTGTTGAGACTTTTTATTTTGTTCGTGTTAAACAATTCATCACAATAAAATGTTAATTATATTAAAGCATTTTAGTATAATTTAAAAAACATATTGTATTTGTAATGAATTGTCATCTATAATTTAATATGTTTTTTAATCTTATGGGAGCAAAATTGAATTATCTATTGGATCAGGTAGTTCTGTAAAAAATGCAATAAAGGATGAAAATGTTAGAAAATAAATTACTACTGAAGATGCATTTAAATATGCCTAATTTGTATTGAGATTTACTATAGTAATTACATGTTGGAACAATTGTTATAAATATTGGTACTTCGATTGTGAAAAAAATTCTGGATGTCCACTCCCGCCCACAAGAAGAAACAGAATGTGGTTAACTGACTTTCGCCCTTCAAATACGTGCTACCGGAGCTCGTGGAAGGTACGGACTGTTGGAAAATTCTGTTTACAATGCAGGTGCATTTTATCTTACAGTAGCGTGGTTACTCGTGATCTGCAGTGAAGTTCAACATTTTCCGGACGTGATTTCAACCTTAAATTACGATAGTGTGCAGAAGGAGCTGTCCACCTTGCGCATATGCTTCAAATTCTCATGGGTGTCTGTGGGGCGATGACAAACGGGTACCTCTGTCAGGGGTGTCTTATATTTCGTACTGAAATAAGGGCAGTTCCCTTGAATGGATCTCGCGTGTTCGCAGAGCATGCTGCACAAGGCGAACCCCATCCCGCAGATTCTGATGCCGAACGAGAAGTCGCGCCGCGGCACCAGGCGGCCGGGCGCGGCGGCGGCGGTGGCGGCAGCGCGCGGCTCGCGGCGGCGGCGCGCGCGGTGGCCGTGCCGGCGCCCGGTGGTGCCGTCCCGGGACCCCCGCGACGTGAGCGTGGCCGCAGGCGGCGCGCGGGTGCCGCGCGACGCGCGCCGCCTGCCGTCGCGGTCGGTGTCCGCCAGCCGTCGCGCCCGCTGGCGAGCCGGTGCTGGCACCCGCCGCGCCGCGCAGAGCGCACGTGGTGCAAGCCCACGGCGGCCGTAGTGGTGCCCAACGCCACTCGCGCCGCGCCGCGCCGCGCCTTCGCGAGCTTTCGACACCGCCCGTGGGACGCGCCTGGCGCGCGTCTTGCCGGACAGCGAACCTGGCGCGTCGCCGCGGCCTCCGTGGCTCCCGCCGTCGCCGCCATGCGCGACGGCCTGCCCGGGCCCGACCAGTAAGTGCACTCCCGCTTTACATCGAAAGAGGAGCTCCTTGTATATACCACTGGCTACCACCACGTAACGAAAGCGTTAGGGCTGTCTTCTATTTCTTATCAAATTACAATACAGTCGCATGTAACAGTTGGTGCATAACTCCTGTACAATTCAAACATTTAGCATACACGTGCGGAACCCAGCCATATTCCATTCACGTGGCATGTTGCAGCAAAGGAGTTTGGGTATTTGCTGTTATTGTTTATTGGCTAGATATATAGATGACAAAGTATGTTTATGTGGTGTGAGAAGTGGTTACATTCCATAGAGAATCTTATACATTTACTAGACATAAGAATGAGAAGTAGTATTCTCTAATTAAAATATCAGTGGAATTGATGTTTGATTAGCTGAGGCACTGTTATTAGATTGGGGGCTTTGTTATGGCTTAATTTTAGAAATTGAAGCTCCCTATTGGGTAACCACATCCCACTTATCAAACTTATATTTTTATTAGAGAATACCGTTGTTGTTTGTATCTCATCTTGAACTTAAAACTCTAGAAACCAATGTTTGAGACTTCTTGTAGGTCATTTCAAGACTTATTCTTCATGTCTGATATCAGGCAAAACATATTAATTAGTTACTTTTTACTTGCTCGTTCTTAAGAAGTAACTTCTTCAGAAGAAGAAAGTTGTATAATATCGGGGTGAAACGGCGAATTTTTGGGAGAAAAACTTATACCTGGGCCCTGGAAAAAAAAAAAAAAAGTTGATAAATTCAGTTGCTAAATCTTCTTCTTCTGCCTTCAAGGATTGGGGCGATGCCAGTTTCAGCCTCTCAGTCCTTATTCTTAGGCAACCTGAATCTCTTCTTCCATGGGGCCTATGTTTCATTGCTTCTCTTGGGTATCTTCTATCGGTCATACTTGGTAGGTGTTCTTTCCATTTCTTTTTTATTTTCTTGTGTAGGAGTGGTTTGTGAGAAGATAATGAGTTAACTTTGTTTGTCAGTATTTTTTATTCTATAGAGTCTAGTGCAACCTTTAACATATCTCAGGAAGCTCATTTCAGTTGCCTTTACTCTTTACACATTTTTCTTATGAGTAACCCATTATTCTGAGCCATAAAGAAGTGCGGGTACTACCATTATTTTCTAGAATTTTATTTGAATTTCCTTTGTTACTTTATTTTTGAAGTGTTTTTTTAATGCATCCACAAATTCTTTGAAATTTATGTAATTTATTTTCTATGTCTTCATCCCACTCATAAGAAATATTACAACCTAAGTAATATAATGTTTTTACTGTACCAGAATGTGTTCATCCACGATGATCTTAGTTTTGACAGAATATTTCCCATGGAATTCTATAGTTTTAGTTTTTGAAATGGATATTTTCATGTTATATTCATATCAGATTCTTTGGAGGGAATGTACTGATTTCTGCAAATTATCTTCTTTTCTTGTAGAATTATCTGGTCATCTGCCAACAGCAAGGTGTTGATTGAGATTATTTGAGAGTAGTAAACCTTATGGAACATTAGACTGAAGATCATTTTAATTTTCTTTCCGGAGGGATGTGCTGTTTGCTATTTACCAAATGTATCCCATACGAATTAGCGGTCATTGTTAGTTCAGTAATGCTCAGTTCGTTTCCGAAAATATGGGAATTTGAGCTCGTTTTTACAGAAAGAGTTTGAGTTTTAGAAAAAATTTTAAAAGTCATCATGTAAAGCACTTTTACTAATAAATGCAGTAATGTGAACAAATTGCCATTAATGCAAATATTCTCAACGTATGACTAGTAAAAATAATTAAATGTTTGTAATTTTTGAAGGGGAAAAAAAGGTTAGAGCAATTTGACGTCATTTCACCTCATAGTGTACATTTAGTCTTATCTCTACCAAAAGTTTAAAGTTTTGCCGTCAATCGATTTTTCGGTTTCAAGGAACCAAAAAGTGGATTTTGGCTACACCATGTGTTACAGGACTTTTGAACAGGTAACTGAATTTATCTACGTTTACGTTACCAGGGCCATAAAAGTTTTCGCCCAACATTACATAACTTTCCTTCTGCTTTGTAAGCGAGAGAGAGAAAGTAACAAGTAGGGCTACAAATGGCATAGACTTTCCCGTATTAGTTTTCTATTTCCATTGGTCTCGCCTAGATATTGGAACTTGCCACATAATCTTCCCAGTTTCCATCTATCGCCGCCCAATTATATATTTTTTAAAGTTTTCAATTTTTTTCAGTTTTTTAATAGAACGGAAAAAAATTTTTAGGAAAATTAAAGCTCAGTAAAACTTCCCAAATGGCAATTTTGAGCCGTTTTTAAGAAAATGGCGCTTAAGCGCTACTGTAAATTCGAAATTTGAAGCTCTTTTCCACAGAAAATTTTCGAATTTTCGGAAAACTTCTTTAGGAGTCACTTGAAGCACATAACTCACAAATAAAATAGTGTTTACAAACTGCTGGAAATGTGCATATAAACGGAGTGAGATTTAAAAAAAAATTACATTTGTGTAATTTAAAAAAAAAACAAAAACATTTTACGCCATATTAAAGAGTGCAATAAGCACTACCCGTTCGAAAAGTTTGAAGTCATTTTTGAGCAAATGCGGAATTTTGAGTTTTTCACAGAAAACTGCAGAGTTTTCGATAAACCTGATATGACATTATTTAAAACACATGCACTCATAAATGTAAACAAATCGCCTCTAACGTAAATATAAACGACGTGAGAGACAAATTAAATTTTTATAATTATATATTTAAAAAAAAAGAGTAGAGCGATGTTTTTCATCTTCATATAGTCATGTTAACATGATCATGTTAAAATTATCTTTACCAAAAATTAAAGAAATAATTTGGAGTCTTTTTGCGAAAATCTTGTTTTTGTATTTTTTTAAAAGTGCACATATTGCGCGAAAACTAAAAAGTAATTTCAAGACAATGTGCATGACCTTAATAAAGGAACTCACTATGAAGGAGGTATATCATTTGAAGGAAAACTCTTACCTTCAATTTTGTAGTTGTTCGAAGACGCCGAAAAAAATTCAAAATTTGAAATTTTCGAAAATTTAGAGTTACTTGTGAAAATTGGAGCTGTGCCACTTTTATACGCGTATTTTACTCTATTCTTACAAGAAATTTAAAGAAAACATATGAAGCCGTTTTTGAGGAAATTGTGAAAATGTCCCGGGTGCTTTATGTAAAGTACCCACAAAAATTAATGAATGTTTTTCAAAATACCAGAACTTTGACTCAGGCCAAAGGGACAGGGATTTCTTCTATTTGAAAAAAATCCTACGCATGCGCTAGTGTTGTTCACATACACCAGATGGACAGACGTTATGGAAGAAAGAAAGGAGAAAGAAAAAAAACACACTCTTTCGATATCAAGGGACTTCAAAAAGTGTATTTCGGTTGATATCTAGAAATCGATTATCCACAGCATTACTTTCCCAATACCACGTACTTTACTTCGTATATACGTATGTATACGGGAAAGTAAAATCGTTTCAAATATTGTGGACAGTTATACTTGGTCACTTTTCATTGTGTATTAAATGTTATCTTTGTTAAAGAAAGAAAAATATATAATGGCTGCGTTGGACGGGCTCGTGCTACGAACGGGCGCATGAGTGACGAAATGTTAGCATGGAAAATAATGTTGATACTTGACTATTGAATACTAGGTGAGGGATATTTCTCCCTCTAAATTTTTTCTGTTAAACTTAATTTTAACTTGACTCGAAACTTTCGAGCAAAAATATTTTCGGATAATCAAATTGTATCGCAGCAGAAGCTGAGTTTAGCCTGCGACATATTACAAAACTTGTAATTACACATTCGACCAAATCATTTTTAATTCCCCCTCCCAAAAATTGTCTCTGGATCCGTCCCTGGTTCATAACCAGATGCAGAATATCGAAGGCGGTGTCCCTGAAGATTTTGGAAGAATTAGAAATGCGTCTAAAATAGCGATAAGCTTCTAACACCCATACACCAGTTCTTGATAGCTTTTGGCCTTTTGACATTTTCAAATTTGGTGGGCGATTGCAATGGAATTTTGATATCTACAAAATACTCTTTACAACGCATTGCGCGTTACTTTACAACGCATTACCAGATGATATTAAACAATTGAGGTCGGTTCACAAATTTAAAAGTAAAATCTTTGCTGCATAACTGGTTCTATACAATTAGAGACTATACTGATCATCAAAAAGAAAACTGTATTGTATATTTTTTTGTAAAAAAAGACGTAATGTTTGTAACAAATAATGCACTTCAGCTTCCGGGTCAATGACCGCCATCTCGATCATTACTAAATAAATCTAACTCTACTAATGTTGCAACTATCCACGCGGCAGTGCTGAAAGAGGTGACGCGCGAGTCCAGGACTTCGCAATCCTCAATCGTACATGCGGCACGTCTCATACATAATTTGATTTTCACACTAGCCATTATCATGTTCTAAGTTGAATCAAGCACTTTATTGATTGCTATATGAGAATTTCGACCAATTTTTGGGGATAAATATGAAAATTACGAAATATCCAAAACTTCTCCAAACCAAATTTCCGTTTTTTTTCTGTTCTTCCAGGCTTTCTCAAAGATTCCAGGTACATTGGCTATTTTGCTTAATCTTTTCCCATTTTCATTTACACGAGTTTTTCCAAATGTGCGTGAATTTGGTATAGCTTTTTAACCCACTCTCGCATTAAAATCACCGACGAGTATAACGTGATCTGTCTTGCACATTTTGTCGAGGGTTTCTTGTAGATCTTCATGGATGTAATTTTCTAATTTTTATGATAAATTAGAAAATTTATGAAAATTATGAGATAATATTGAGTTGTGTTGGCTATATTTTCATGAATTTTTCATATTGGCAAGCATAGTTCCTCATTTTTTTTCTTCATGAGAGTCCATCTCCTCTACATTGGTTAGATACTATTTATAACTAACTAGAAAACCCATGATGAATGGAAAAAGGCAGCTAATCCATCGAATCAAGCAACGAAAATGAGCTCATTATATAACACACACCCACACCACACACTTGGGGAACTGCTTAAATGAATCTAATCACAATCCTATAAATTATGACTTAAGAAATATTGCATTTAAATTACAAGAGAGAAAATATTCTCACTTTCTTATTTGATTTGCATTGAGTGCTGAGTATCATTACAACATGAAGATAGACAATATATAAAACAATTATTGTTTCAATGTATGGAAGAAACAAAAACAAAACCAGAATTTTTATGCTGGAGGAAGAAGTGCCAATTGTTCTTGCAGAAAATTAAGTACTTAGAGGACATGTTTTTAACAATACTAAACCAATACTTGTATTATGGAAGAATCTCATTTACTCTTAATAATTTCTTTATGAAAAGAAGAAATCTTGTGATACGACAGGATTCAAATGCATGTTACTAGATTACACCTTAGTTTCATTGTGTGCCATTTGTAAGTGGTGGAGGGCTCCTCTTTCTTACTGCTTGCCTGTAGAACTATCTCCTTAACTGTCATTGCTTAGTCTTCTCATGTGTGATACAAAGCATTGTTTTGTTACAGACCTCAGCTTTTGGATTCAGCTGAGAGGTTTGTCCAATCTGGTGTTGAGTTAGCAGTGTGCTTGGATGATGTATGTGTCAGATTTCCAGGTTTTAAAATGATTGTTTTGATTTTAGCTTTCCTAGAGATCCTCGTGTAGCGGCAGGACCCGAGAGGTTTCCTCGAGACCCCAGAGATCCAAGAGATAGAGTTGATCCACGAACAGGTAAGGTGCTAATGATAATCATCACAATAAGAGGATAGAAACAGTTGTTATAATAGTAGTATCAAGTTAAGCTTGTTAGAGGATGAAGTACTAATTTTTCTTACAGAACTTACTTGGGATGAATGACAATAGAAAGTTCAGAAAAATAACTCAACTACAGGATCCACCATTGACATGTAACCCTTTCCGGCCATGTGGTTTCAGTTTCAAACCGTCAAAAAGAGACACTTCTTGACCTAATATCAATGTTTCGTTAATTCGCACCTATGTATGTGGTTATAAATTGTGTAGAATTTATAGGGTGTATTCTGCATGGTGTGTTATTGGGAAGAAGCGGGTTCTAGTAAGATTTCAAGAAGTGATGACATTAATGATGACAAATAGTGTACAGTTTAGATTTGAAAACACTATCAAGAACATTGTGGTGACATTGTGATACTGAACAGAAGTGGGCTTTATAATAATAGTGAAGTGAGGTTTGCATTGGTTTGTAATTAAAAGCAAGAATGAATGTTAATTGGCAAGAACAATTTCAATGGGTTAAATTTTTAAGAACATGAGTAAAATGTATATTGCAGTATATTAATGACATTCCATCAGATGCTGAATCTGAAACTCCAGAAATGAGCACCAATGAAGAGACCAAGTATGAAGAAGAGATAGATTGTTGAAATTGGCCTTGAGTTTGAAGTACTAACTCATTTGCTGCTGCACTTTCAGGAACCTGAAAAGTGCATTGAAATGAAATGGAAGAAAAAAAAAATCATGCCATTTGAAAATCAACAATTTGTTGCAAATGTGGGACCTAACATTCCAGATGATAAGGATGAACCAATAGAAATTTTTCAAGAGTTATTCCCAGATGAATAGTTGAACTAATTATATGCTAAACAAACTTGTATACTGCTCAGAAATCAAATAAGCTCTTAGTTTGCAAGAAATGGTTATGAACTGGCAATGGAAAAGGGATTACACAGTAAGCATAGATATTCGGCCAAAAGTTGGATATGTTGAAATCTTTACAAAATTGATTGTAAAAGCAAGACATGGTGGTATAGAATTTTCTGGCATTTCCTGGATTTACAGTCGTAAATGCATACGTTACTCATAAGGAGCTGAATGGAAATTTGAAAGGCCTGAAAATATTGAGATTATCCATAATTGTAGACTTGACTGAGGTTGCAATAAACCTTTCTTCATCTAGATCAAGGGAGATTGACACTTTCAAAGTGTATCTACCACCCCCAAAGGGACAAGATCAGGTCTCCCATATGCCACAAAATAGTACATCATGAAGATGCAGCGCTGCGAAAAGCAAATTGAAGCACTGCCAAAGGTGCAAATGAAGAAAATGGCTGTGCCCAGTACGTAAAGTGGGATTATGCTTGAATAAATAAAAGAACTGCCCACTGAATTCTACAGACAGTGACTACGGAGTGAATCAGTGGTTTCAAATTGAAACCATGACCTATTGGTTGCCAAAAATATATTGATTTAAAAGTTGCATTTTCAGTTCTTCTTTTTAGCCCTTTGTAAGTTGTTTTTGCCATAAAACTCATTATTCCAAAAAATATTTTATTTTCATGGGCCGGAAAGGGTTAACAAATTTGTGAAGTGAAGTCATAAAGGCTTCTGCAGCCTTTCTGGATTGAAAGAGGAGTAGTAATTGTGAGAGAGAAAAGAAAATCATGACATCCTACTTGTGTAAAGGTAGTTCCACATATTTTCTTTTCTTGCTTCTTGTCTGGAGATGTAGCAGTAATTGAAAGAGGAAAATCGTGACATCCTACTTGTATGATGGTAGTTTTATTAGTGATCGCGGAATATTGATACATCTTTTATTTACCGTAGTATTACATCCTTGGAAAACAAAAATGATTTGAAGTATTTCTATCTGCATCCATTTAGATTCTCAGCAAATTATAGCATTCCAATTGGTGTTTTGTTAGCAGGTGCTACTTCTGTGCCTGCCCGTGCACCAGCACCTGTCCCTCCAGTAATTGCACGTTCAACCCCACAACCTACAATGTCACCTAACATATCTGGTGGTGCTTCTGATCAAGAAAAGGTAAGTAGGACACATTCTTCATTTCTAGTCCACATGTTATAAGCTCATGATAGGAATTGAATACATAAAATATGGAATTGTGCAATATTTCTCACTATCAACAGCTGCAACTTAAAAAAATACTTTTATTCCACTGTCAATTACACAGAAAACCACAATAGAGACAGTGTTTGTATATGCCTTCCTGTATCTCACCATCTTGTAGGTCTGGCGACTTTTTTTTTAATGTCTTACTTCCTAACGCTACCAACAACACTGAAAAAGAAAGGAAAAAAAATAATTTTCTTTCTCATATTTTAAAAAGTGTGCATCAGAGCAAAAACTGACTATATTCCAAAGATGACAAAATCACCTATGAGGTTGTTTCAATGCTTCTTCTATTCCCGATAGGTTTAGTTATTTGCCATTGCGATTTAGAAACTTTAAGAACACATTTTTAGGTGATATTTCTACCAAAGAAAATTAAAGTCCCTGTAGCAGTCATTATTTGAATTTTATCTTCAAACCATGAAATGTTTGGACAGTTTAAATTTTGTTTTTTAAGTGCCCCAAAGGGGGAAGAAAAGAAAAGTATAACAGTACTTTTCCCCCTAATTTTACATTCAAAGGAGGAGTGTTGTGATGATATTCTTTTACTTCATAATTTTATTGGAATGTGGATGTGGGAGAAAAACCCCTGAGAATAATTTTATTAGAGAGTTATAAGGTTTTCCGTATTTTCATTAGGGGAGTATGAAAGGGACCAATAAATCCTAACCAATTTAACTGTTGCTTTTGCATTGCTGATCTGTAACTAAATGAACCCTTTGTTTTTAAAGATCTTCTTAATTTCATGTAGTTGATACGCAGGGTTTCAAAAAGTGACTTGTGGACTGAGGTTTCAGGCAGCTAAAAAGATTTAGATACGATGTTTTGAATTTACCAATAATACTTCAGAATTCCTGTAGAAACTACAAAACTTTGTTGCACTCTATATTATGATTTACTTTGAAATATATGGTTTATGTATTGTAGGTTCTTTACTTTTTGGCAGTGACTATTTCCTGTAATTATTTTTTAAGATACCAGTCCAAAGTGTGCTATTTGAGTTACATTTGTTTCAATTAATATGGAAACATTTTGTTAAAAAATATGAAAATGGTTTTGAAATCAAAATCTTTAGAATTTCAAATTGGATTAATGTTTGCTAGGAGACTACTCTGGTGATATGTATAAAAAGCGTTGGCAGCTAATCTGACATCTTGCGGTCAATAAGACAACTTTAAGGCATTTTCAGCCAATACCAACTACATTTTCTACAATCCTCCAAAGTGTAGGTGGTGTTGGCCAAGTCAAGTAAGAATGTCAATATTGGCAGAAAAAGTGAAGATAAATTTCTTCATTCATCTCGTGTTGCTGAAACAAATGGTGTGTCAATAACTGCTGATGTTTTTTATGTAGGCTTTGATGATTTGTACAAAAAGTCTTCCAGACTGCTGCATCCACCTGACAAACTTTGTGGGATGAACATTTAGTTAAGTTTTTTATATGGCCATGTTAGTTTTATCAGTCCTAAGCTTCTGTATTCAGAGAAGATTCAGGGTATGTGTATATTATATGCTATCCATAAATTTCATAATGCAAATTGGAGAATTTGAAGTTCCCCTCTCACCATACACACTTGTAATGTGTGCTTGTGACATCACTCCAACTCCAATTTACAATAAGTAAAAACAATGGTGTGCCCGAGTTGCAATTTGCTGAGCAATGAAAATGTGGTGGTCTTTTGAACACAATGCACTCGAGCAAATTGTTTTCTTCCTTTAACTTCTTGGCCAAATACCAAATGTGAGGAGGGTGCACCCTATTTACTACTACCTATTAGGCACAATTTTTTGAGTGAAGGGAGTATGTTTATGCAAGAAAATTTCCAACAAGGTTGGCGAGACACACACTTCACTACATTTAAAAAAAAAATTATAGTTACATGATTTAGCATATGGACAACCTCTTGTGCAATTCATACCAAGACATTTTGGAACTGAAGGAATCTCTTTATTACATAATTTGGATACAAATCAAAACCTATAAAATAGCATTTTATTACAAAAGAAATCTAAGAAAAACTAAAAAATTCTCCTCTCATACTTTAGTGGTAAAGAAATGTTTGCAATACAATTTATGCTACTGTTTGTTGCAGGCGGCTCTAATTATGCAAGTGCTTCAGCTGTCAGATGAACAAATCGCCATGTTACCTCCAGAACAAAGACAAAGTATTCTTGTCCTGAAGGAACAAATTGCAAAAAGCACCCAACGTTGATGCAAGAAATTTATTTTGTTTTCTCAGTCACATGTACAAAAGTTGAAATAAAAGTTTGAGTAGTTCAATTTCAATGAATTGATTGACTTGACTTCACCGATAGTCTACTGCCAATTTCCTTGTACTCCTGTTGCTTTATCTTCATTGATTTCCACAAGAAGGCTGGCATCCAGAAGTGCTTGGTAAACTAGGTTCTCTGAGTTACAATAGTACAACTCAACAGCAAGCGGATCTTTTTGCTAAAATTTAAAAAGAAAAAATACAAATGAACAAAGTGTTACAAAAATATTATTTAGTTAATTGAATTTTTTTTCTAGACACATTATGAAAATGCACTATAATTTCATGATCGATTCCTACCTAAGTTTTTCATTTTGCATTAAGAAATTGACTTCCAGTAGTAATAGTAGTATGGTTCATACTGTGCATGCATTCCTGTGACCAACTGCTCATATGCTTTTTGATTTCGTCACCAACGTGGTACATATTTTCCAACCCTTATTTAGTCCGTAAATGAACATTATCTGTACTAAACTTGGGAAACAAAACAAGAGCATTTCTTTTTTATCACCCACCTAGCCACTTTTACCATATTATTATTGACATTTCTTGGTGTTTGTTGCTTTCACAATATTAACTGAAGGTTGCAAGATTTTAATTTTGTGGTTTGTATTCACAGCAGAGATATTTTGAAAGAATTTTCCTACCAAATTCAAGATTTATGAAAATATACAATTTATAAAGTAATACAACACTCAGCATTATTGAAAAACAGTGATTCTTGTAACTGCACACTAGGACAAGATTTTTGGTGTTAAAGCTTCATAATTTGTGGTGCCACTCTCCTTGGTTGAGGGGCAGAAAAGTTCCAAATGTAGCACATTGCCATCTGCTCTTGTGTACAGCTCAGTAATTACATAAAAATCTCTGCTTAAAACATGCTGACAAGATTCCTCTGTAATTTGTCTACATGTCTGAATATAAGAACAAAATTACAAAAGAGTGAGATATCCAGATACAGATATTAAAAACTTTACTTATGTTTTTCAGGGAACTAAAGGGGAAAATGTCTGAGAAAAACACATAACTAAAATTGATTAATATGAGCAAAATAAAGATTCAATATTTTTACAAATTTGTTTTCTCAGATCTTTAGCACTATCTACCTTTTTATTGTCACTCTTCCTAACAACTTTTAGAATTTTTATTTTATCTGATATTGAAAGGGGGTTGCCTTTTTCTACCACTCTTTTTCGTTTAATATCTTGGATGCACAACTAACTATACTTTCGATTGAAACATTGAGCCTCAGATCCACGAATTACATTGGTCTACTTGGAAATATATCGTCGGTAGAAGATTATCATCGAAGAACTCTCCCCTGAGGTAAAGGGTACTGGACACAATGGGAACCTTACTCATGACATTGTGCGACTCAGTTTCACTGCGGAAACTAAGGCCGTGTCCTGCATGGGCTACAACTGGCGGAGGCAACCTGCGTCTGGTTGCTTCAGTTTCAAGCTTAATGTTACTTGAGATTCCAAGGGTCAAAGCACTGTGTTCTATGAGGGTGACAGGAAGCGCACGACTGCCAGTCTGGTGACACCCACTGTACCGCACGATCAATTTCATTAGCTGCTTGTGCCATGGTGGTACCAAAAGGATCTCTTATGACAATTACGGCGAGCGAACGGGCATTCGGAGACCGGAAGAGTTAGAGCACAAACTTCACTCATTGGTAATCTTCATCGTTACTCTCTTGTGGAGACTCCTTTCATTTTCCCTCGGGGTGACCCGTCACCTCCTGAGATCTTCAAAGAGCTCCCGTACACACCCAAGTGACATTTTTTCGCTCGGAAAAGTTTTGCTTCCGGAGATGGCCCCTCAGCTGGACAGAGTTAAGCTTCAATATTACAAGTTTCATTAGCAGAATGTCACCTCAGAGGCTGAGCGACAGGTCGCTCCACAGGAGTACTCTGGAGCATGCCGGCCCTTGGCGCAAGTCGCCCCGCTCCTCACCAGAATCATTTGAACGTTATACGGTTTTAAAGACTTTTGTTATGAACGTATAAATGTGAAAAACGTGTTAACGTGAAATGCATATCTGAAATAATTTAGCATAGGAATTTATCCTGGACCTACCAAAAAAACAACATAAAAACGTGAAAAACCTGTAAGTGAGCAACGTCTAAACAGAGTTTCACTGTATATTTTTTTAATGGCTATAATGACCCCCCTCCCCCTAGGGATTGCGTGACCTTTTCATTGGTGGGAGTGCTTGTGTGGTCTCGATCCTTTGGGCTATGGCGGCGGTAATGTACCAGCAGGGCCTCCCTTGCTGGACAGGCCAAAGGTGAAGATCCAGATGAAAAGCAATCCAGAAGAGGAACTCTGCTCCTTGCAGTCTGGCCCAAAATGCTATTAACAAGGGAAAAGATCAATGGTCCCAAGGCAATGTGGGTGAGATCGACTGCAAATAAACTGCCCTGGAGGCTTGGAAGCAGTAAGATGACAAATCCATCACCAAGATATACCTGCGCAGCACTCATACGTAGCCAGGGGATTTAACTTATTACTGGCAAAAACCACAGTTAGCCTCTGAAATGGATTCAATGACAACACAGCTTAAAACAAAGGAAGTAGATCGCGGAAAAATAATTTTATGCACATGGAATGTTAGATCTTTGGCAGGTAAAGAAAATGAATTAGCACGAGTGTTGAAAAATAATTGTGTGGATATAGTCAGTCATCTACGTATTTACTGACTTGTGATTGATATATATCATGTTATACAGTGATGTGCAACAACAACAACAACACCAACAACAACACCAACACCAACACCAACACCAACAACCACAACAACATGCCAGTAAGGGCGTAGCAATTTTAGTAAATAAAAAGTTAGAAAGTAAAATAAAGAGCCACAAATAAATCTCACACAGAATCATCACTATACATCTGAAACACAAGAGAAAATCTAACAGTAATCAGAGTATAGGCTCCAGAAGATGGTAAAGTTGAAGAATCTGAAAAATTTTATAGAAAACTCCAAAAAGTAGTGGGAAAGTATTGTCAAAGCAGCCAACTGGTTGTGGCTAGAGATATCAATGCAAGACAGAGGAAGTAGAGCGTACCATTAAAAAGAAAAATTATTCATATAGATGATATCTTAATAATCCTGCAGAAGAAATCAGCAAAGAGGTTAGTGACAAAAAGCCAACAGGAGTCTTGGGATACATTATCTCAAATATTTAAGACTACTTACTTAGCCAACAAATCTTTGTACACAAAGCCCTGAAAACATTATGCAGCGATAAGAAACACCTGGTGAAGTTAGTATACATGGTTTGGACATCTCGATGAAGAAGGCAACAGAAGCTATTAAAGCATTAAAAAATAAGAAAGCAACAGGATTAGATAAAATAAATGCTGAGTGTTGGAAATATGGCAGAATGCTTATCCAGCTGAGATTGCTACTATCTAGATCAACTGGCCCAAATCCTCAATTACTTCCAAAATTTGTCACAGAAAGTGTTGTTGGATCAGTTCAGAGTAATTGTACATCAACTAATATGATTAAAGAACTTACTTTTATTTTAGCAGTGAGGGAAATATCAAATATTAACTTGGACAATCTCTTTAAAAGAACTTTCTTCTCACAATCTTCAGCAATTTTCACATTCCATAGTGAACATTTGATACCCTGAATTGGTAATTCCATCCATTCAGGTTTAATCTTGCGTACCCTGTAAAGTGAACAGTTTGAATACAAATCAAATACATTTAATTCATTTCTATTCTTTTAATTTTTGTGTGTGTGTAACTGGTAGTTACAACAGCGCTTATTTTGTAGTGTTGTTTGTTTGCAATTTTCAAAAATTGAGAATTCAATGAACATGAGATTTGCACCATTGTTTTATCTGTATTATTAATTATGATAATTATTATACTTGGAAAACAATAAATAAACTACTTGGAGTACCAGAAATAAAATTTTTGGGTGAAGTCATAATACAAAATTTAGGGAAAAGTAACAGAATTCAACATATAGAAGAACGATTTGCTTTTACTTTTCAACGACAGACAGAAGATATTGTAAATAGGTGTAACCTAGCAGTCCTGCCAAGAAATATAATAACACAAAGTAACTCCTTTTACTTACCCGAAATCACTTTACAGGAAACAAGTTCATTAATTAAAGGAATGGACAATAATAAAGCTTCAGGAATTGACAAAATAGCTATATAAGATATAAAATTGAACTGCAACTCAATAACACCAATTATAATGAAAATTATCAACTCAAGCATTAAGGAGGGAACTTATCCAGACAGATCCATAAGTGAAATAATTATATGAGTCGTACCAATATCCATTATCAGACCAATTCATAGAGGAGACAGTCTCTCAACCTATGAAAACTATATGCCAAATACAATAAGTAACATATTTAAAAAATATGGAGGGGGGGGGGGCGCAAAATCCTCTTAACACCATTAGTGTAGCCAGAATCTATGTCGTGTGGTCCCTTAATTCCAAAAAGTCCATTGATGGCAAAACTTCTTTCAGATCGCCTGTCTATACATGTTTGTAAAAAATGTTAGCGGCTATGTGGTTCAGTCAATTTTCACCAAAACTGATATTGTAGATCAACCTGGCAGATGTCACAGCCCCTTGAATTTGAAATTCTAATTTTAATTTTGGGGGATACTTCCCCTACTACTACACTAGGACCCAGTATTTTGAAAATGTCCCAGGGTATCATTTTTTAATTAAATGTTATATTAAAATTTATTATTATGAAGTATTTTTTGTGTAATAGTCTCAAGGATGATTAAGAAAATGGTACATGACTAATTTGCTTAAAAATCCTAATTTTGCTTAATGAAATGTGTTCATCAAAATCATATTTCCAAAATACGGTCATGTTCAATTTTACGACATTATTTTTTGCTAAATTTTGTGTCAAACAAAGGCAAAATTAATTTTTTTAAAGCATTTTTTACAATGAAATTGGGACCTTATAAAGCATAAAGGACGTTTAAGAGTATGGTGCAGGTCTCGTGAATGTTGAAATGCCTAATTTTGCGAAAATTAAAAAATGTTGTGTCACCTGGCAACTATAATGGAGAAGATAAATTTTTTCTCCCTAATGAAATGTGTTCATAGAAAACAGATCTTCAAATAAGGTCATGTTGAAATTTTTGAAAATATGAGTATTCTTTGTGTAATTTCGTAATAATATAAATAATACAAATATAATAATATATAAAACATAATAGCTCACTCCCAGTTGACTGCATTTTGTTTATTTAATAGAGGTAATTCCAGCAGGATGCTTTGTAAGTTAGAATTTGTATATTATTTCATACATAAAAAGTAATGCATGTAATGCAAGTAGTTTTGGTTAATATAACATCATATTTTTGTATTAATTTTCATTTCCCCCCCCAGGGGTATCAACAACGCTAATTTGCAAAATGTTGTATCCCATACGAATTCGCGGTCATTGTGGAGTGTTGTAAATGTTAAAACACCTCACTGATAACAAAAGGCAATAATGATGGCAGCGTGCTAATATAAACTAATAATATTATTTATGGCTAAAATAAGCATTGTTGGTGGATTAATGTAGAATGTGGATACACTGAATTCAATGGCAGAAAGTAGTTTTCGTTTAAACATTTGAATTACAATCCCTCTATCTTCTAAATAATAACAAACAAAAAATTGCTCTAGAGTAGATTTGTCATGTATCTAGGTCACATACATATATTTAATAAAAAAAGCTTTGCATTGAAATAGAAAAAAGTAAAATCAATAATCTATGCTTGACTTTTGGAGAATGGTTTCATTCACTTAAAAATGTTTAGCCCCCCCCCCAAAAGAAAGAGAAACACACACACACACAAAGTGCTTATTTCTTCATTATTTAAAACACATCTAAAATTCAGCAAAAATGAGGGGGAATTTTTCATTTCAGGTGATTTGGTACCAAAAGACTTAAGATACGACCAAGTGCCATTTTCTATTTTAGGCATAATATTTTAAGAACATCATTGGTGGCGACCTCTAAATATCTATGAATTATCTGACTAATATAAATAGCTTACCATACTGACCCTATAATGAATTGCTTACCATTTCACATCAATCCATTCTAAATTACCATAATCCACAAACTCAACTTTTAGTTTCTCATTGTCTTTCCCAATTTCCACTACAATTGCTCGATAGTACTGTTCATCTTCAAAGTATTGTGCACAACAAGGTTGACCTGAAAGTCATGGAATCATTTGAGCTAATGATTAAATGTTTAATTCATCTGAAATTTTAAAAAACTGGCAAAAAATACATTACTCAGTACTTTTTGTATCTTAAAAAAAAAAAATCTTACAAAGACAAAAACATGAATTTAAATCAAATATTCATGTAATTTTCTGTTGAGCAAAGTATCATTTTTGCAACTAACACAAAAACTCTCAATCCACTTAATAAATAAAATAAAATTAATAAAAATTTTACATACATTCATGTAATCAATGTAAAATACTTCATGTATTAGGAAAAGACCCTACGTAATATACCAACATTACGTAACTACTTGTTTTATAACAGCAAGACCTTTAAGGTTTTTTTAACACTTACCTACGTAAGGCATTTTTAGTGGAGACTGTGAAGGTGCCTCATTTTGAATTTGTAAGGTCATGAGGTCAAAATCATCTCTGCATACAATCTGCAAAAATATCAGTTAGAAAAAATTATTTTTGCCCGTTTGTTAGATGAAGAAACTAATATATAATATTAAACTAGGATCAAGTGATATCTTACTCGCTCATTTTTATCTCTTTCTGGAATCATTACTATCTCAGTTAAGCTATCCATGAGAGTTGTAACTTGAACAGTCAAAACATCACAGTTCTCTAAAGTCATTCTTTTATATGACAAGCTGCACTTCTGGAAATTTTTCAGAAAACATTCATTCATTTCTAAAAACAGAATCATTAGTATCAATTTCTTATCAGTTATGAAACATATTTCGGTGTTGTTACCTCATCTTCATTGAAAACATTAACTGATTCACTGCAATGTGGTATGCTTGATGCAGCATCCTGGACTAGTTTCTCCTCACACTTTGTGAGCTTCATTTCAGTGATACGAGTACAATCAAAGTTTTTATCACTTTTATTATCATTTTCTTCTGTAAATATTTTCTCTTCATACACTTGCTTTATTTCATTAATATCACAGAAAGATTCTAATTTGCAATTGTCAACTGTCTGAACTTCTTTTTCATTCACAATAGTTTCTAAACATTTCTCCTTCTTAAGAACTTTATTTTTACTCAAATCTTCAACATTTAATTCATTAACAAAGTTTTTTCTTTTATTAAAATCACTTATTACAGGTTCTCCACGAACCTTTAACTCACACTCTAGTTCACAGACATTTTTGTCAACATCCTTTGCTTCTTCGACATTACTAAGCTTCTCATTTGACTTACTATAATTCTTATTTTTTTCTACATTTACCTCAACACTAATGTCAGCATTACTCAGTTCAGCCATGTTAACTACATTTTCTAATCTCATCAACTCTCCTTCCATATTACTATCATTCAAGTCCAAGATTTCCTCTTTCTCAATGATTACACTTTCTTCTGAGCTTGTGTTCAGTTCTTCACTATTACCTAGTACATTAGAGGAATATATTGCATAGTGCATACTCACTAAAAGCTGAGCAACGTCAATGTTCCCAGGTAAAGTCAGAGACACCTGTAACAACAATTGTTTATAAGCATGCTGAAGAATATCTGAGAAAAAGAAATGATAAATATAGAATTTTAGTTTTTGTTTTTAAATACTTACTTTGGGCACTGGATCATCAAGAGCTGTTTTAATACAGACTTGACAGTTTTTTCCGTCTAGAGTCATATGAAGGAAATCCAGATGCTCTAATTTCCACAATCCTTCACAATCGGCCTATACCACACCCCCAGAAAAGTTTCAAAAATAATTAACAATAAAAAGAATAGCAAAGATTGAAAAAGACAATATGGAATATTTTTTTTTAAAAACTTGCCGCTTGTATTTCATCCAGTTGAAATGCACGACACAATATTGGAATGTGTGTTACAATCAGATCTTTGCGTAACATTTCAACACCACAGAGTTCAATATTACCATAATCAACAAACAAGACCTCATACATATTGTTTTCTTTCACCTAAATACAAAATTGCATATTAATTGACGAGTCCTCCTGCTTTAAAAATGTCAGAAATGATAAAGTAGCAACTTCTTTTTTGACAACAGAAAAAGTTTATGATAGATTTTTTTAAATACATATATACTCACAGCCATTATTTTCCCACGGTACCAGCATGTATCAGCAAAAAACTGAACTAAGCACATTTGTCCTTCAAACCAATACATATCTTGAGGTTTAGGTTTTGAATCTCCAACAAACTTCGTACAAGCATCCTTTATCACTTTCAATGATTCATTATCTGTTCAGGAATTAATAAAAAACAAATTGTGTGCAATAATGAAGTTTTTAAAACCATCTATAACAATGATATATTTAATAGTAGACATAATATTTAATACTTTACTACTAAAATATTTAATAATAGACAGAGTTCATATTGTTAGTAATCCAATGTTAAGATGTTTTGTTCTCATTTTACCACTCTAGCTCCGCCATGGAAAAAAACAACAACAACAACAAACCCCCACACACACACACACCTACCTTCCACGTTGTGCATGTAGATACGACATTTAACATCCACATGAGTAGTCATACCCATAAATCGATGTTTTTTCAACGGTAAAGCAGGTAGCCACTGATTTCTTGGATTTTCAGGGAAAAGGAATAATTCTCGTCTCCCACTGTGATCTTCTTCAAAAATATCCTCACTTTCTGAAGAACTCTGACAAAAAGGGAATTAATTGTGATTAATTTCATTTCATTACTTTAAATGTTATATTCACATGCTCTGCTCAAGTTGCAGTCTATTTTTGAAACCATACAGTCATGATAGATTTTTAATTGTCAGTGGTTGTGACAGACAGTCCACACAAGACAAAGACAAAGAAAATTAGTGAAATGTACGTAAGTATAAAAGGGAACTTACAAAGAAATAAAGTTAAGAAAATAAGTTTATTCAGCAACTTAAGTGAGAGGAGGCGATGTGTGAAATGCATTACATTATGTTTAGATTACAGTGTTATATATTTAAGCTTATATAGAACTTGAAATACTTGCATCTGCCTCTCATGGTTAGATCCACCTGTCTAAATTTGATCTGCAACCTAATCTCTATGCAAGTCTTAAAATGTTTTAAGATGTTGGGATGTGTGGATCATTTATAATATTCCATGTACAGTAAAACCCTGTTTTTACTTGTCTCTGCCTTTAACGTAATTTTTTGTTGGTCTCATCAAAGTGACTGTATTTATAATACATTCTCCTGCTGCAATTTACAACTTTAATATCAAGTATTTCTATAATTCTGCTATACCACGTTTAGCCAGAATCACCAATACATATATGAATGAAATTGATTTGACTCGACTGAATAACGTCAATATGCTAAGAATGATCAAACACTCATATTACATTTCACTGGATCGATAATCCACACTTGACAATAATAATTTTTTACAAACAATATATATAATATTTTATGACAAACGAATATTTTGTAAAATTCTTCAAGAGCGTATAAATCCAATGTAAATATGCAAATGTATTTAGGCATATAATGCCTGTTGAATAATAATAATAATAATAATAAAGAAAAAAGTGCTTCCTGTCTTTTACACAATTTTTCTTCTTCAATTTTTTTTAGGAAAAACTGATTTTTGAATCAATTTTGGCGGAAGTCTTTTCAATTAAACCGTGTTTTCACGTAGCATCTGCCATTTCCTGTTATTTCTGGGTATATCACAAGTTATGTAAATGTAGTTATAGTCTCGTTGAGTCTCGTCTTGTAGTCAGCTTGTTTGGTGTAATTGTGTGACAGGTGATCGTTGTTGAAGATAGTGGAGACTATAATATGGAGAAGAAAAGACAGGAAATGCATTTCATTGAAAGAGAAGATAGAGATTTTGCGTCGTGTTGATGGGCATGTGAGAACATGTGTTGAGTTAGCAAAGGAGCTTCAATTCTGTTTCCACGTTGTGCACTATAATTAATAACAGAAGCACCATTGAATGATAAGTGTAATTTGTAAATTACTAAAAGGTAATATGAGTAATTTAATTATATAAACAAGTCCCTGTACTTGCTTAGCCTATCGTTTTTTAACTTTCCTGCATTTTACACTTTTTTCCACCAGCCCCCTGAAGAGTTAATAAAGGGGTTATACTGTAATTGAAGTATGGTCATAATGCATGAATTTTATTGTCTTCAACTGGTTGTGTTTGTATGAATCAATCCATTTCCTCTCCCTGCTAATAGTATGCATAAAAAGATGGCTAGGAATGTATGAACGGCTACACACAATTTTTACAGAATAGTACTGTGTTCAGATTTTATAGAGAAAATACACGTTTTACGTTTACATTTCATAAACATTACCTTCATAAATCATCATAAATTATTACATGTCATTAATGTGTGTAACCTGATCAGTATCCACAAAAGAGTAACAATAAGTATATAAAAAAATGGTTACCGTATCCTCTTCCTCTGGCACATTTAATTCATTAATACTGACGGTGGATTCAAATCTGGCAGTTTCTGAAGGCAAACCAGTCTGCAATATTTCGAGAGATGCAGGCCTAAAAGAGAAAAAGGGGCAATAAAACATTAGAATGACACAGATAATTCTTAACTATAAATAATAAACTGAAGTCAGGTTAATGGGGCTTGGTCAGTAGGAGCAAAAAGAAATTGAAACCATGGTTGTTTGTCATTTGGAGAAGGCATTTCCATCCTCAGGGCTATACAAAATGAGAAAGGAAGCAAGCAAGCAAGCAAGCTCTCGAGCACTATTTCTTAAAGCAACCAAAAAATGAGTCAGCTACAATTGCACCATCTTAATACAGTTGAACCCATTTAAAGTGATGAGAACAAATTGCTGCTAATGTAAATATTAACGAGAGAAAAATAAAAAATAATTTTTGTAAATTTTGAAGAAGAAGAAAAAAAACAAAAGACTAGAGCAATTATGTCATCTTGTACCACACCAAAAGTTCAAAAACAAATTCGTTTTACAGAAAATCATTTTGTAATTTTTTAAAATTGAAAATATTGGACACAATATTGTACAAACTACTAAAAGTTGCAAAGAAATGTACATGACCTTAATGAAAGAACTAATTATAGACAACAAATTTCATTTGAAGGAAAATATCCATCTTCAATTTTGTTGTAGTAGGGAGATGGCAAAAAAATTTCAAACTTGGCAATTTTTGAAAAATCCGGGTAAACTGTGAAAAATCAGACATATGCAACCTTTACAAGTGTATTTTACTTTATTCTTACAAGAAATTTAAAGAAAAAATTTGAAGCCATTTTTGGTAAAATTTTGAATATGTCTGAAAAATTGTGTACAGTACTCCAAATTTTAAAGGTTTTTCAAAATCGCAGCATCTCAAGACAAGCCAGAACAACCGAGGAATATTGATTTTGGAAGAAATCCTATGTATAGTTTAGGCGTGTTTAGTGGTGTTCTGCAACAAAACACTTTTCGGTACCAGGGGACTCCAAAACTTTCATTTCCGTTGAAATCTCTAAATCCATTTCCCACATACATAATTTTCTCTAAACTACATATAAAAGAAAGTAAAAACATTTTTTACACAAGTTAAATGAGTACACCATGACTACTAATGGTAGAAATAATTTTCTTATCACCTAATATTCTACCACTAAAAGTCATGGTGTGGTGAAGGTATATGTATGTTCCTCACTTCCTATGGGGTATCCTATAGTCAAGAAAATATAGCATCTTATTTAATTATGTGTGTACTCCATAGGTGGTTGAAAGGTTTTTAAAAATGAAATGCTTTAACAAGTAATGTACTTGCAGTGCCTGGGATCTCGGATACCAAACTCAAGTATTTTGCTCAAAGAAATCATTAAAGCAAACAGAGTAACAGGATATGAAATGAGGAGAGAAAAATACATACACCTTGAACCTACAGTAAGAATTAACGAAGCTGCAGTACTGTTCAATACTCACTAATGCTGCAGAAACTAATCTGAAAACAGAATGGACGAGTCAAATAACGGAGTCAAAAAGGCAAAAATGCTGGGAGAGTAAAAGAGGGTGTAAAAAATATGTTTCGAAACAAGCACAGTAAATAATGCAGGTTATTATTGGACTCGGAGGAGGAAAAAAAAAGAGATAGATCAAGAGAAGAAAAATAGATAAATTATGCACATTTTTAAGTACGATACATACATTGTTGTTGGAATGGCCATTCCTTTCTCAATCAGAACCCGATTGAGACATATCCAATCAATGCGATTAGGTTCCAAAGGGCCTGGAGAAACAACATCTCGAGCCCACAATTCTACAGGTAATGAGTTTTCTTCTATTTCTCCCTGAAATTTCAAATGTTAAATATTGAGATTTATCTTCTTAATAATATTGGATTCTTATACAGAGACCCATTATGTTCACTGAACTTTTAAATTCTGAATGTGCTTTAAAATGCATGTTTAATTTGTAACAAAATTCTCTCTCTGATTGTTCTATCTTTCTCAAGCTGACTCAAAACCCTTCTTAGGTGCCCATGAAAACTATGTATTAGTCTCATCCAAAACTTGGCATTACTGCTCCGTCTCAGCTGTTATCATCTGCAATATCATCTAGTAGTTTCGGTGTTATTCGCCAATGAGAAGCAACATGAGCTCTGTTACAAAGGAGATACAAAAAAATAATGTAACAAATGGGAAGCTACATACTGATAGTGAATAATCATTGTTTCAGAAACAAATGAACCTATAAGACATGTTACCACTTCTGGGTTTGTGCTGTTTCAATTGAGGTTTGAAAAGTTCATTTTAATGCGACGTTTGCTAAGGGTCTATCATAATGGAATTTTAATATAGTATTTTGTATTTAGAATATCCAGAGTAGTATCTATGCGTAAACATAGTTCAAAATCAGATCCCTCAATTGGAATTGGAATAAATAACAAGTTTCAGATATTTAATAGAATCGTGGCTCTTGCCACAGTGTAACACTAGAACATTTATGAATAGAAAAATGGATTTGATTCTTATGGGTAGATTAATTTACAAAGACATTTGTTCTCAGAATATAAAAATTTAATAATTAAGGACACCGCTACTAGTGGCAGTTGTGTCTGAGTAAGCAGACTATTACTGAGGGAGCTCCTTGAAAACAATCCTAGTATTTGTATTGTTCGTTCTCGATGATGTCACTGACAGAACTAGCATTCTTGGATGTAGGCACTAGTGACAGATTGTTTTGAGAAAACTACCTTTGGAGAATCAAGGATTCCAAAAATGATTTTTTGAATTATACTAAGTATCTGAGAATTAAATATACTACATACAGAAGAATGAAAAAGAAAATCATTTGGGTATCACATATTCAAAAAAAGAATTTTTGTCGCAAGTTTGAAACTTTTTCCTCCAGCATTAGAAAATTTTCTCTATGTGGAATATATAATGAAAAAAGTATCATCCATTAAAAATGTAAATCAAACAACATACCTTTTTTGTTATAAATAACTCTGAATAAGTCTTGTAAACAAGATCTGAAAGCATTTCACAAGCTATAGAAGACCATTTTTGTCCCCCAGCAGCTTGTATTCCAAACATGTGACATCGAAGAGATCCATTATGAATGTTGACAAAGCTCTCATGAAGGACTCGTAAATTATGAAAAGGAACTACTTCTGTTCCCGCAATATCTTTATAAAAAACCTACAATATATTAATATTGAAAATGACACAATCAATTCTGAATAAATAAATTAGTAATAATTACACTTTTTACAAAGCTTTTCTAAAAAAAATATTAAACTAAATACTGAATTTTTGTATCAGTTTATATAAAAAAGGAGTTAATGTCATAATGCATAATAGCCTACTATCATTGTACCTTCACTTTATTGTCTATTATTTCCACAATGATGCCACGATACCATCTCTTTTCTTTTACACTCAAAACCGAACACTTGTCTTGTAATTGCCATTCAGTTTTAGTAACTGTTTTTCCAGAGTAAAATGTCTGCATATCTTGTATCAAACTGTGAAAACCAGAGTACCAACATGAATCAAAATTGAACATTTTATAAACTTTAAGAAAGAACTTAAGAAAAATATGGCCTCAAAAAACAGAACTATGATGAATACTTAATTTTAACTTTCATAATAATGAAAATGAGTTGCATATATTCCTTCTTATTACAATTTTCATAAACTCTAAAAGGCCCCTAAAGAGGTCTATTTTGGGAAACCATGCTTGATGCTCATAACAGGATCCAAATTATCAAGATTTGTATCAGATGTGGTTTTGGTACATGATTTTACCCCTGGCTCACCGAAACACAGTAGTAAATTCTTTAGGAACTACAGAACAGATTTATGAATGAAAGCTTACTTGGCAATTTCTTCCTCAATAATGCAGGGTCTTACAAAAAAGTGACCAGGAGAATTGATAGCCACTACAGTAACAGCCATACTGCAAGGTGGTCCTGAGTTGGCATCTCTGAATGTTGTAACTTTCGAAGGATCAGTAGCTGGTAAATATTCATTGGCTTCCAACACACCTACGCCTCCTGGATCTGTTTTACGCATTTTTCGAACTTTTTTTCTTGTTGGCTTTATGGCTTGGAATAGTGTAGTTTGTTCCTAAAATTACACAAGCTTTTGTTAAACCAACAAAGAAACTTCACCATTAGAAAAATTTTAACATATTTTTTAGTGTTAAATTTCTGTCATGCAGGTCTCTGGGAAGGAAACGTCAAAAATTAGCTCGTAAGACAATTTTAAGCATATTGTGTCTAATAAATTACATGGATATTCTGAATGGCTAAGCCGCAATAAGCACTCAAAAGTTGATTTCAAAAAATTAGTCCAATGCAAAAATTTGTATTATAAAAGTATAGAAACATATGAATTGTTTATTATTTACAAAAGAAATGTTAGAAAGAAAAATTAACTCGGAAATAAAAAAGCACCCAATTTACAAAATTTGATGGCTTTTTTATTTCTCACTTAATTTCTCTCTCTGAACAAATATATTAATTTCTTTTGTAAATAATGAACAGTTTACATGTTTTTGGAGTGTTTCTTTGCTACTGTAATGCAAATTTTTACTTAGAAATACTTTTTTCAAAGCAAATTTTGAGTACTTATTGCATCTCATCTGTGTCCACGTAAGTTATTGGAAAAAATATGCTAAGATATTGTCTTATGAGCTTATTTTCGAATTTTTGACGTTTCCTCCCCAGACATCCTGTATAGGAGTCGAGGGCCAGATGATGCAGAAGGCGTTGAAAATTAAACATAACAAACACAACAAGAAAATTAATTACAATAGTACAATATTGATAATCGTACAATGTGATGATCAATCTTATTATGAGGAAATGAATTTTTGCGTAAATACAGATTTTGAATATATAAAATGTTTTATATTTGTAATACAATTTACACAAGGTAGAAGGTACCAGATTAAATCTTTTTTTTTTTTTAAGTTTAGGCTTTGTGTCCCTCTCCCTCTCTCTCTCCCTCCCCCCCTCTCCTTTTTGTTAACTTTAAATTATTAACTTTTAAATTTTAATTTTAAAATTTTATTATCGTTAACTTCTAAACTCATATTCTGACATCCGCATCTCAAATTTTCAAGAGCAACTTTTATATGTTTTCAAGAGAGTAGGAGCTATACAGCATCCTTGTCTCACATCAGACCTTAGAGATTTTAAATGGACTCGATAACTTCCTTTTCAATTTTGTTACAGCGTGCCACATCACTGTTCACGTTTTGAATTGCTGTTATTAATTGCATATCATATCAGATATATATGCATATATGCATATCAGAAAATTTCCAATAATTTTTCCAATGGACAGTTGCTGCAGGCTTTTGTGAGATCTATAAAGACCGTAGTTCTCTTAGAAAAAGTGCTAGCCTTTCATCTGTTTTTGACAAAGACAAAATGTTCCATCAATGCAAGATCTTCCTGGACGAAAACCGTTTCATTCTTCAACAACCTTGACTCAATTTTTCAAGTATGTGAAGCAACATACAATTTTCCCAGATTCTAGAAACAGAATTTGTTACACTAATTGATCTATAATTTGCCTTTTCTTTATGATATGATTTTAACTTTCTCTTATACATCCACTGCTGGTCCAGTTTTTGGACGCTACTAATATTTTCAAATTTGGGGTGAGTAATAGTACACTTTTACACTGCGGTAATTGACTAGTATATTATTCATATATCTTACCCCAAAATGTATGTACAGTAAACGAACATTACCGCAATTTACGATTTCCCGTAATGAACATTTCTCAATGGTTCTATTAGTTTCCATATATTCATGTTATAAGTGCTCCGCTTTTATGATAGTATAATTCCGATTTTCCAGCAATTTACAACAGTCTGCTTGCCACAACACCATCTGGAATGTTGTCGCCTACCGGGCGTCGCACGTTTTCTTGAGTATGTTCTAGTTTGAGCTGTGGACACAACGCATGCCGTCAAGAGCGCTCGTGTGACGTTTCGCAATATACATTGTTAATCTACGATGTGTGTTACGTGACTCGGATGCACACACATTCACGCAGCTGACATCATCAGCGTTATGTAACGCGTGCCAATGCAACGCTCATGTGACACAGGCGTAAGAAAGGTAGTCTCATGATCAATTGTTTATTTTAAATCATCACCTAACACACTTTCACCCTTTTTCGTTCTACAATAAACTTAATTTTTCCCATCCTTTAATAACTCAAACATGAAAGTATGGGATTCATCGTACGTTTTTAACTGTAAATTCGTTTCATGAACCTACTTATCTATTATTATAAATCAATTTAAAATAGACTTGTTGGAAATCATTATGACCAGCCGAAAAAAAAACCCTTTTTGTTTAGTTGGGGAAAATATAAACACGTTATTTTCTTACAGCAGAAATACCATTGTCCTTCCTCCATCCAATAATGAGTAAATTGCACCATCAAAGGCTATTATCAGTGGATGGCAGGGACTAAGAGTGTGAATATAAAAATAATTTTCCCTCATTTACATATCCCGCAAATTACACCATTTTTCCTAAGGTCCCAAGAAAAGTGTAAAAGAGGGGTTTTACTGTGTTTACAATAAACTGAAACATTTTAACTTTAAAAAAATTAACTCGTTAAACTGTCTTTTCATACGAAAAGCCACCCTTCTGGAATAACTTTCTTCAAGATCCTTGGCATCCTATTCATGAGTTTCTCAGAAACAATAGCATCAATGAATTATTTTACATATTTGTTCTATGTATTTTTCAATTCTGAACCACTATGTACCACAAACCACAGCGTACCTACAGTCCAAACTCTGTAAAACACAACAGCAATCTGTGGCTTCACCAGCCACTAACCCTTTGAATCAATGAATACTCTTGAATTGAAGGACAACGATTCCCAAGTAATATTCAACTACACTCATGATAAATTGAGACAAAGATCCTACTGCAGTGCCCTGGATGTGGTTCGCACTATCAAGGCCAAATACAGTGCACCGAGAAACACAGACTTTCATGGGTGTCCAAGAACTTTTGAATGGCATTGTATGTATATACAGAATATTACAAGTGGTATAGAGAGTCGTCAATATGTCAACTAATTATGTAATGGTGCAGAAAATAGATTTTGAGATTTTAAAGGAAATATAAGTTTTGGGAGTCACCAGAATCAGAAAAGGTTGTTGTAGGTAGGTTTTTTCTCCCTTTCTTTCTTTTTCTTCTGCCAAAACATCCATCCATCCCTCTATCGTATATGCAACAGAACTAAACGTAGGATTTTTTCCAAACTGAATATTTCCTGGTTGATCTGGCCCCAATTAGAATTGATTTTGAAAGACATTCTTTAAATTTTAGGGGCATTTTACATGAAGCCCCTGGGACATTATCAATTTTTTCTCAAAAATGACTCCAAATTATTTCTTCAGACTTCTTGAAAGAATAAAGTGAAATACACTTTTTAAGATGGCATAGGTCTGATTTTCAATATTAACTCTGAAATTCCAGGAATTACAAAAGTTTGAATTTTTTCAGCATCTTTCTACAAGTACAATGTTGATGATAACATTTTGTTCTCCATAATTAAGTTATTTCATTAACATCAATATATTTAAAAAATAAAATAAAAAAAGTAGTTTTCAAGAAATTGTGAGTAAAACGTTGGCAATATTAAAAAATATAAAAATACAGAAATTTCTCAAAAACGGCTCCAAACTTTTTTTTCAAATTTCTGGTAGGAATAGTGTTAAACACACTGAATAGGATGACAAACACTATTTTGCTGTATTATATTGGTTGTTTCAAAAATTACACAAAAGTAATTTTTTAAATAAATCTTTGATGTTGTTAGTATTTACATTATCGACAAAATGTATGCATTATGACATTTATGACAATGAGTTTTTCAAATGAAAATTGATAAAGATTGTTAAAAACTCAAATGTTTTCCGTGAAAAGGAGCTTGAAATCTCTCTTGGGATCATTTTCTTGTCATCTGCACCAAACTTTTTCTTTGCATTTTTTGAACTCAGTGCTAAATGGACTAAATAACATGACATAAATGCCACTCTGATGCAACATAAGTGTAATTTTATTTAACTCTCTCTCACACTGTTAATATTTATATTGCCAGCAATGTGCATTTGTGAGAAGTGCTTTAAATGATTTCCAATGAAGTTTCTTGAAAACTCAAAAGTTTTCTGTGAAAAGGAGCTTCAAATTTTACATTTACTGAAGAGCTTAAATAATATTTTCTCATAAACAGCTTCAATTTTGCAAACAAAATTGTAATGTGAAACAAGATTATATCCTTATGTAATAATCTTAATTTTAGTTGTACTGTTAATCGAAACATTAAGAAGTGTAAAAATGTACTTTGGGTGGCAATACATGGCAGCTAATAAGATGGGACAAGACTGAAAAACTAACCCAGACCAAAGAAATTACAAAGCTAACTAGAATGAGAAAGTCTGTGCCATTCTATAGCACCACTAATTTTTATATATTTGTAACATATGCTGTCTTCTATTATGAAGGACCACCTTCACCTCATATTATTCAATTGAAAATAAGAGCTAATTGCCTTAATAACATATTTGCGCTAGTTTTTCTTAATTCTTTGGTATACCATATAGTCCAAGAGATCTTCAATGTTTTCATCATTTTCGTCTTTTTTACAGATTTCATAAATGGTTTCATCACTACCTACATTTTTCAGCAAATTATCCCGACAGTGTTGAATTAATTAGATATATAATTATTTTAATATTAAACAATACATGAATATTATTTTATTATTATTATTATTATTATATTATTATATTATTTTATTATTATTATTATTATTATTATTATTATTATTATTATTATTCATTTCATCATTATTATTATCATAATCATTATTATTATAACTTGATAGGCCACATTGGACCACTTGATTCGTTCCACTTCACTTTTTACTGTTCATGGTCGACTGTCGAAGGTATCACCTTGAGGTGAGGATAAATCCTCGAGTTATAATCCTGAATGTTATTCAGAAAGGTGATAATGAGAGATGGAGGATGATGGATGATAGGGGTGAAAGGACAAACACAATACAAACCATGCCGAGGCGGGACTCGAACCCGCGATCTTTCGGTACGAGATCACTACGGCACTACTGCCTTAGCGATCTTGGCCACCGCAGCGGCAATACATGAAATATAAATATAGATCAATATTTAATTTTTTCTTTAGTAGTTCTTTCTTTACTATTGTACTATATGACAAAATTCTTCTTCCGATGCTGAAACATCACTTGCTTGAATTCGTACATACTCTTTATAGCTTTAGCGACCTGTGTATTGAACTTATCTTCATATCTTTTGACTAAATTTTATTTGTCTCTTTCAATCTCTCTTTTATTCCTTATTTCTCAACAAGGGTTACTTTTTAAAAGTTCATGAAAGTTAAGAAATAATATATAATTTACCTGATTGGCATCAGGAGGCAAAGCAGCTTCAACTTTAATATACTGAACAAGGCTGGCACTGTTACAAATAATAAAAAAACAACAAAAGTTCATATCAAGCAAGTAAAAAACATATTTTAAAATAATATTAACATTCGACTTTACCCCACTCCAATACTCAAGGCATGTCCTTCTCTCACTAGTAGAGCATTCAAACAGATATCAACATTTTCTTTTTCTTCATAAAGTATCACTTTGGTGCATTGTTTTGATACATTATCAATAAGCAATCTCAGTTCTTTATCCTTTGTAGAATTCAGAAAGAATTCCGTAGCAGATTTCAGCCATTTATTGCCTTTTGTAGGCATCACATCTGCTAAAGCACATTCAATAGCCTAGTTCGAAAAGGAATAATACTATGTTAGTTGCTATAAAACGAAATCTGATGATTCAAATTTCAAGATCAACTGTATCTAAACAAGGAGGAAGTCATTGGCATATCAGTTAAATCTCTGAAATTCCAAACCAACCTGAGGGGGGATACGCATGAATTTCTCTGGCATTTTCCTAATGCTTGTGTATGGAACTTCTTCTCGATTTCCATAGTCAACATAAAATACTTCTACCCAGGATTTTCTAGGGATGGATAAAACTCTTGCTCTATACCATCCTTTATCTAAAGAAAACTGGGCAGCACAGGGCATTCCTGACAGGAAATACAGAGGTTAGAAAGTAATACTTTAAGAGTTTCAAAAGACAATATTCACACAAATACTAATACAATTGCCATTTACATACCTACTCCTGGATCATAAATCATATCATCTTTATTTTCTTTATAGTATCGACTCATGTCATCTAGAAGATTAGTCAAATACTCAGCATGAGTACCTCTCTGAAAATGGGTAAAAAGTGTATAAGACATTTTCAAATAATAATAAACATGAGAGAAATAATGACCATACTTACCCTTTGTGCATAAAATCGAGATGGGCTATCAATGTGACTCAACACTACAGGAAAGTTCTCACTCTTGCTTAGTGGTTCTTCTTTAAGATATTCACTATCGAACCTTGCAGAAGCCAGTCTCTGTAAAGAGATGGTTATTATTTATGAAATTGATATTTAATTATAAATATACAGGGTAAATATCTCTAGGAATTGCCAAACAATGTTTCAGAAGGCATCCACCTTAAGTCCAAATAAAATTTTGACTAAAACTGATCAAAATTTTGTGAAATATTATCATTGAAATAATGTCACTGAAAAGTGAAATTCTTGAATTTAATTTCCTTTATTCCCCATGTATTTTTGGCGCAAAGACAGTTCAAGAAAGAATGCTGGGATTCAATAAATCAATGACTTCTATTTCTTTTAGATTTATTTTGGTTTAGCCATATTCTACTTCACAACACATATACTATTAATGAGGTAAAAATGTTTAACACTGATTCTTCATTTTAATAAAGATTCTTGATTTAATCTCTGACATAAAACGTGCACTTAATATTTGTGTGCGCTTAATATTTGACATATTCGGAGACAATTTTCTGAATTGTATGATGGTTCATGATTTTCTAGTTCTACTAATTTCTTAAAAATTAAAGTTTTAAATTGGAAATTTTTTTATTTAATTTAGATGAATTGGAAATGGTAATGTCTAGTTTAATTATAAATAAGTGTAGAGGGGTCTGGAATGAATTTTGCATATCTTTTTAATGGGAGATATAAAAAATTAAAATTGTATATGTTTAATTATTACATTATTAATTATTACATTTTTAAATTAAAGTATATATTTTTGCTTACTATGTTCAATCTACTTTCATCTTCAAGGTATGCCAGATCCATAAACACCATAGCATCCCGCACAGAAACAGGAAAATTGCAATGCTTCATTCCTGGTATTGCACATAAATCAATGTAATAGACATCATCCGAGAAGCTCATCACATTCATATGAACACGGACTCTGTAAACAAAATACCAAAAGTGACATATGTAGCACCCAAATAAATAATAAATTTCATCCATTATTATGATATTGAGTGAAATCAGTAGTAAGCGATCACTGTTTGTTGCATGCAAAATGGGAGTTAAGAGGGGTTGCTTAACAACAACTCTACAAAGTCTCTAAGTCCCTCTACATGTCTCCCTACACATCAGATGTTTAGTCTCTCTTTGCACATAATGAGCATATTTAACCGCTTTTGGGCATGGCTTTTGGGCATGGGCATGGCTTTTGAAAAAACATTTTGGCAGGTTTACTCATCTAGAGTACAACTTCACGTAAAAGTTTTTCAGGGGACTGAAGGGAAAATGTATTAAGTATGAAAAACACTTAACTGAAATTGAACATTATCAGCAAAATAGAAACACAATATTTACCTACGGTTTTATTAAAAAAGATATTACCAAAAAGGAATTCAACATTAAGTTAAAAAAAATTACTTATGAACAAGGTCTGTTATCTTAGCGTGTTTAACATTATGATTCGCCTACAGGGTGCAGTAGTGCACAAAACTTATTCCTTGATTAGGTATTAAGTCTTAAAATCTTAATAAATTTATCTCTGAAGTCTTAAAATTAACTATAAATGTATATATTATGTTTTTATTTAAAATGTTATATTTAAATTTAATTGTGAGATTGGAATTTTAATAAAAGGCCAAAAAATAGGTTTCTCAGAAATTACATGTATCCAGTCTCCAGTTCCCTTCCCACAGCAACTCTGAAATCTTTCGAATTCCCGCAGCTGGAGGTGGCTCAGGAGCACTATAACCCCAGTGGGTTGGCACGGTCTTGCCCCTCAGCTACGCAGAGTCGAGCTTCCATATTACAAATGTCATTAACGGGAAGTCACCTCAGAGGCCAGGAGGTCTCTCCGCGGGAGCGCTTTGGCACAAAAACGTATAAACGTGAAAAACATAAGTGTGACGCGTATAAAGGGAGTTTCACTGAAAATATTTTTAATATTCATATTGGAATGTTCAAATAGCCGCTAGTGTATTAATCTTATTTATAGGTCTTATCTAGGCTTAATTATTCTGGAATATGTTCACGAATATTATCAGAAAATGATTTTCTGTGAATTTGGCAGCATTACTTATTAACGCACCTTGCAGCACTGACCAGGATTGAAAATTCAACAGTTAAGAAATGTGCCAATTTCATTCTTATCGACCTATTATTTATGGTCATTGCCAACACTAGTCAAACGGGATACTGTCGCTTTTATAATACAAATGGCATCACAGAATCTGAAGTGTAAGCTCAATTTGAGGAATCAACACTAATTTGATTATGTGTCTCAAGTGAATGTAAAGTCTACATGCAAAGTCTTAACAACCAGACATGATTATTGATTGAACCCTTCTGGGTAACAAGATTCCTCAGACAGATTACACTTGCACCATTTTTATATCAATCTGAGATATTGTAACCTGGAGAGATTAAGATATTGGATTGTTGATGCATTAAATACACATTCACCAGAGAAACAAATAGATAATGAGGTCCTAACCCTGAATTAGCCACAACATTTTACAGTTCATTGGCTTTAAGAAGAATAGATTTAGAAAAAAATTCTAACTTGCTCAACTTCAGGCACATTACAATGATAACAAGATTCAACGAAATTGTATAACTAAGTAGATATGTAGAATGATCTTTGAACACAACATAGCCCAAGCAGGGGGCTAACAATTCTGTTTGCATATCCAAGGACAAAATTCTTTCACAAAATCTATTACGCTGTTTCTTCACTTGTTCAATGGTCAAGCAAAAGCTGACCCTCCAGTAATTGCTGATGCCTTTTAGAAATGTTTTACAATAGAATCTGAAGGCACCCTACCTGACTTCAATACATCCCCAACTGAGGAAACTTATTTGATATGAATTTGAGATCTGTGACCTCAACAGCCTTAATCCAAAGCCAGCAGCTAGACCAGATGAAATTCTTCCACTCTTCTTAAATGAGTGTTCACTAGACATTGCCCCAACTCTACATAAATTCATTTGTCTGATTCAGGATCTGGAATCCTGTTAGCTGATTAGAAAACCGTGGATGTCGTATTTATCTTAAGAAAAGAAAGTAAAACCAACCCCAGCAACTACCTGTCTCACCAATTCAATTATGTAATTATGGGGAGAATTATAGCTAATTGTATACTGAACCATGCTATGACAACTGGGTGTATCCAACCAAGCCAACACTGTTTCATTCCTTAAAGTTAACACCAATTTGCCCACTTGGACTAGACCTCCTCGACTTTGTATTGATACAATTTACTTTTTCTCTAAGGCTTTTGATAATGCAAAATGCTACTCAATCTTCAGCACTTGGGAATACAGGGAAGACTTCTTTCTCTGAATACTCGCCTTTTCTGAAGATCTCAGCTGATGCGTTAGAATTGGAAACAGTCATTTAGAAGGACAATTATTGGTGGAGTCCCTCAAGGCTGTGTACTTAGACTAATTTTGTTCATCTTGAACATTAGCAACTTGTCCCACAACATGGATTAACATTTTGTGAAGTATACTGACGATACAAAGTATTATTTTAACTCTCAACTTTAATGGACCTTAAAGCAGTTCCAAGCTGAACTACACAGTGGCTGATCTCCTTAAAATATGCCAAGTGGTCCATCATACATGTTAGGAAAAATAACCCAAGCTACCTAATCACATTGGGGAATGTGTTAATTCTATCGATTATGTAGGACCTTGGAATTTATATAACTGAAGGTCACAGGCAGTCCTAATGCTTCAGGGATACAACTCCAAAATCACTCACTTCGCAGAAGAGCCTTTGGACGTTTTCTCAAGCACATATAAAAACAAGGAATTGAATTTAAATTGTATTGCTATTACTTGTCCATTTATGAAAAGAAAGAAATGGCATTGTTGTTTATCATGTAATGGAAAATAAGGAATCTAACAATGGGTGTATCTCAATTTTCAATTCTTCAGAGTTATGGCCCTCTTGCATTAGAGGTGCGAAATGGGAAGCCCATCTCTCTTATATTGTCAAGATGGCTAATAAGGTAATTTTCACAAAGCTTCTACAATGAGTGAAAATTTCACGGTCTTGCACAAAACTGGCATTCTTACTTTCATCGAATTTGGTACAACCTAGGGAACACCTACTACATGACGAAAAATGTGCTAAGAGCACCCACTGTTCATGAACTCCCTTGTTGGGCTTATAAATTATCTGGTTTTTGAAATTCAATTGCAATAGTTCTTTAATGGAATAACCTGCTGTTCATTGTAAAGTAAAAATAAAAATAAATCAAATAAAAGAAAGAAGTGCTGGTCACATGGTAGAGATCATTAAGGTAGTAGTGCCATAGCGCCTCAGACCAGAAGATCGTGGGTTTGAACCCTGCCTCAGACAAGGGTGGATTTGCGTTTGTCTGTATGTGTGTGAATCCTCTCACCCCTCATATTCATTATCATTTCATCTTTCATACCCCCCAGGACTAACAACTCTCAACTCTGGAGCATAAAAGAAGACCTAGAAGAAATGCTGATCCTCCTTAATAAGGTTTAATATGTAAACCCCCAGGAATAAATATATGACTGGGCTTTGGTGGGTATGACTACACATTCACACATTCTTTAGAAAGACCAATTTGCGACAGAATGTTGTTTTTTTTTCGGCTCTCGCGCGCGCCTCGCTCGCTCGCTCTCTGCTGCGCGCTCGCTCGCTTCGCTCGTCCGCGCGCGGCTCGCTCGCGTCGCTCATCGCAGCTGCGCCCGGATCGCTCGCTCGCATCTCGCGCGCTGGCATCGCTCGCTCGCTTCGCGCGCGCATCGCTCGCTCAGCTCTCGCGCGCGGCTCGCGTATCGCATCGCTCTCTCCTCGCGGCGCGCGCTCGCTCGCTTCGCTCTCTCCTCGCGCCGCGCTCGCTCGCTCTCTCTCGCGCGCGGCTCGCTCGCTCTCGCGGCGCGCTCGCACGCCTCGCTCTCTCTCGCGCGCCGCGGTCGCCTGCTCGCCTCTCTCGCGCGCGCAGTCGCTCGCGTCGCTCTCTATCGCGCGCGCTCGCTCGGCTCGCTCTCGTTTCTCCGCGCGCGCTCGCATCGCTCGCTCTCTCTCTGCCGCGCGCTCGCGTCGCATTCGCTCTTCATCTCGCCGCGCCTGCTCGTCGCCTGCGCTCTCTTCCGCGCGCGCTCGCCGCTCGCTCCTCTCTCGCGCGCTCGCTCGGCTCCTATCCTCGCGCGTCCTCGCCGCTGCTCGCTTCGCCGCGGTCGCTCGCTCGCACTCTCTCTCGCGCTCGCTCGCTCGTCTCCTCTCTCGCGCGATCGCTCTCGCTCTCTCTCTCTCGCGCGTCGCTCTCCCCGTCGCTCGGTCTCTCTCCTCTGCGCTCGCTCGCTCTCTCTCTCTCGCGTCGCTCTCTCGCTCCCGGCCTCGTCATCTCTCTTCTGCGCTCGCTCGCTCTCTCGTCTCTCGCCGCTCGCTCGCTCTCTCTTCTCTCTCGCGCTCGCTCGCTCTCTCCTCTCCTCGCGCTCCGCTCGCTCTCTCTCTCTCTCTCGCGCTCGGCCTGGCTCTCTCTCTCTCTCGCCTCGCATCGCATCCTCTGCTCTGCGCCTCTCTCTCTCCTTCGCGCCTCAGCTCGCTCTCTCTCGTCTCTCGCGCCTCGCTCGCTCTCTCTCTCTCTCGCGCTCGCTCGCTCTCTCTCTCTCTCGCGCTCGCTCGCTGCTCTCTCTCTCTCGCCGCTCGCTTCGCTCTCTCTCTCTCTCGCGCTCGCTCCTCTCTCTCTCTCTCGCGCGCTCTCGCTCGCTCTCTCTCTTCTCTCGCGCTCGCTCGCTCTCTCTGCTCTCGCGCTCGCTCGCTCGTCTCTCTCTCATCGCTCGCTCTCTCTTCGCCGTCGCGCGCGCTCTCTCGCGCTCTAGCTCGCCTCTCTCTCTCGCGCTCTCTCGCGCGCGCTCTCTTCGCGCGACGCCTCTCGTTCGCGCGCGCCTTCTTGCTCGCGGCGCGCTCTCTCGTCGCGCGCGCTTCTCGCGCTGCGCTCTCTCGCGCGCGCTCTCTCGCGCGCGCTTCTCTCGCGCTCAGCCTCTCGCGCGCCGCTCTCTCTGCGCTCGCTTCTCTCCGCGTCGCTCTCTCGCGCGCCGCTCTCTCGCGCGCGCTCTTCGCGCGCCGCTCTCTCGGCGCGCGCCTCTCTCGCGCGCGGCGCTCTCGCGCGCCAGCTCTCGCCCTCTCTCTCTCTGCGCTCTCGCCGCGCTCTCCGCTCGCTCCTGCGCGCTCTCGCTGCTCCTCTCTCTCGCGTCTCCGCGCGCTCGTCTCTCGCGCTCTCGCGGCGCTCTCTCGGGCGCTCTCTGCGCGCTCTCTCGCGCGCTCTCTCGCGCGCTCGCGTCGCGCTCTCTCTCGCGCCTCCGCGCGCTTCTCGCGCGCTCTCTCTGCGCTCCTCGCGCGCTCTCTCCTCTTGCGCGCTCTCGGCGAGCTCTCTCTCGCGGCGCTCTCGCGCGCTCTCGTCTCTCGCGCTCTCACACGCATCTACACTCTCCTCTCCATGTAGGTTCTGCGAATTTCAAGATCTCAAGTCAACCATAAATAAATGTGATTTGGGCATTGCTTTGGGGATGGTTTTTGTGGGGTCTTTAATTCCAAATAATTGTTGAAAACACCAAACACAAGCCGCACGATTAAACAATTATGGAACATTTATTTAAGTGGTTGGCGTAACTCGAAGCATCTATACTTGGATTGAATGTGACCAGAAAGATTGCACAGACCCAAGTGTAATTATGTATC